AGTCTAGCCAGTATGCGCCTGAGCCGGCCAAAGAGCTGGGCCACATTTGGGTGGGGCTGTCCTTGTGGCAATTGGCGAGTTGAGCCTGTGGCGGTGCGCTGGCAACGCGGCGAATGCACCGGTAAAAGCTGGTCGCGTCAACCCCAAGCGCCAGACGAAACGGGCCCTCGATGGAAAGGCCCGGCCGCCATGTGGGTAGTGGGTTATTGGGAAGCTCGAGAACACCTGAGACGCCACGAAATGGTGTGGAGCCTCACGCCTCACGCGATGAGGCTTGGGAGTAGCGCACCAGCTGGGGAGATTTTCGAGAAAGACGATCGTGGCTGATGGTATCGTTAGCCGACGCCGGGTGCGGGGGCCGGCGAGGCGCATTCACCAGTGCTCTTTCTGTTCTTTTTACGCCCTTTCTTCCACTCCCAATCCCGGAAGAAAGAAAGCGGGGAGCGGGGGCAGCGGCAAGGGACTTTTGGTCTTGTCTTTTCTGGAGACCGTGGACATGGGCGGCTTTCAGATCATCTTAACAAGTAGCGCTCATAGCTCGCGTGTGGAGACTTGACTCGGCCGACTTGCCCTGCGGCCGTGGACACAAAGAGAGGTTCGATCGTGGCTGAGGGCTTTGTTCCCTTTTTTTTTTTTCTTCCGGACCCCAAAGAGAACACCCGGACCCCGGCGCGCGCGCGGGAGGGGGCAGAGAGGAATTCCTGGTGTGATGAGATTGCCTACCAACCTTGCGGGAGCTGGTAATTTGTGAGCGCAAGCGAGGCTGAACACTAGATAGGACGATTTTATCACCGTGTCTTGAGTATCTAACAAGGCCTAATCTAAAGAGAGAGAAAAGAAAGTAGAGCGGAAAAGTACGTGATATCCTATATGGAAAGGGCTCACCAGCGTCCTGGAGAATCTGCCCTATCCTGCCCTGGGGAGGAAGGAACTAGCTTTGGTCCCCCCTTCAGATTCATCCATGGTGATAGTGTGCTGTGAACAATTCGCCATGTTCCATGACCAACTTCTATCACATATCATCTCTTCCCCGCGGCTAGCTTGGAAAGGTACACATCCCAACCAAGTTTGGGTTGTGTGTACTGATACCTCGAGTAGACGAATCTTGGCCCGGCAAGGCTGACCGCCCCTGAGCTAGGCACTGACAACAGCACACGCCCTCTGGTTCAGGATGGGTCTTGAAGATGCGGTTGCGATGCCAGACGTACGTAAGTAGGGGGCCGCAGGGTCTTTTGGGAGGGGGGATAAGAGAACGACTGTTGGTTTGTCCTTGTCAGCGGGCATCTGGTACGGGTGATCTCTCAGGCAAGACAATGGATCAATTTCAGCTCTGGATCGCCTCTACATGCGGCGCACTACTGCGAGTCCCGCTTCCCTTTTCGTTTTGGCAGACCCAACTAGCCTCATTTTTCCTCATTCGAATGATTACACGGTTGTGGCTTTCTGGCCCGTGTTCGTGAACCTGCTAGTCCCGGCTCCTGGTTCTAGCGTGTTGGTTTAGTTGCCCACCGCTCTTCAACGCTGATCGGGTTGGCACCCTCGACCAACCAACACATATAGAAGCACGTACTTTCACACGCACATACGCCTCAGTATACCCCCTCCTAGCCTCTAGTTCATTATGGTGTTTCCTTCCCCCTCTCTACTCTCAGCCTAGGGCCTTTGGTCTCTACTAAACTAAAATGTTGCACAGGACAAGACGGACGCCGCCCATTTCATGTTCCTAGAGAAACAAGGCGGCCAGTGGAACTGCCCTGTCCTGTCTTCACCCAACTCATTCCCGGGCCTCTCGATCCCGCCAACACACATTCCCCTGTCGGATCCTTCTTGCCCTGTAATTTTTCTTCCTTTATCTCTTTTTCCTTTGTTCATTTAATCTGCAGCGGAAAAAGGAATCTTCCCTCCCAGACTTGCCCTTCCAACGTGGAAGAGCGCAATAGTATTGGTGCGGACAACCGGCATACGCCCCTCCCCTCTTAGATTGCGGGATGGTGGCACGAAGATCTAGAGAGTGAGGAGAGTGGGAAGGGGCGTGGGGAGAGGAGTAGAAGAGAACTGAGGGTAGAGTGGAAAGGCACTCTGAGGATCCTTGGAATCTCCAGAGGATGCCTTTGGGAGAGACATTTCTTGCAGGGTGGAGGGGCATGCTCTACTCGACACTCAAGTGTCCCCATGTGACGGTCTATAGGGACCACTGCATTCGAACCACACCCAGGTCCGAGTCACGTAGCGGAAAAAGGTGGCGTGAACCCAGAGAGACCATTGTCGCCTCTTCTCCGTTCCCGGTGCCTACCTGCCCTACCATGAGATTAACCCACCCTTTACCTCTGGGAGTCCTCTGCGGAGTCGTCCCGAATGGAGGAGGTGAGTGGCCATGGAGAGTACTATATGCATGGGATGAAACAAATTGCTAGGGGAAACCTGTAGAAGAGTGGAGGGGACCGCACTAGTTTGTTCTAAGCGTGATGGGACCGCAAGGCAGACGAACATCACATTTTCCTCTCCTGCATTGTCCCCTCTCTCCACCCTGCCCCCTCCCCTCTCTCTTATTTACGTTCTTTCTACTTCCTTTTTCCTTGCTTTCCCTTTTTCTTTTCTGCAGCAATGGAGGAAAATACACCATGCATGCGCATTCCGAGTAGGGAGGGTAGCGCATGGGGTATGGACTCTAACCTAGCTCGTTCGAGACGCTTAAACACGGGGCCAAGCGCGCAGGAACAGACGGGAACGCACGCCGGCGGCGTAGGGACGGGGAGGGTAGAACCGCATGGTCGACGCACAAGCCTACGGGCATGGGGAAAAAGTACAGTTCTGCAGACTACGGGGACACTCGTGGGTGAAGCCGTGGAAAGTGAGGAAGGGGAGGGCGCCGCCAACCCCTTGTGCGCCGGCAAGGGGAAAGGCTAGAGAATGCAGGAATCGGGCGTGCTTTCTTCATCTTTGCGCCTCCTTCCAGCTACCACGTCGTTGTTTCCTTCACCTCTGCGACTCTGTGCGCCCGTACCTCTCCTCTCGTTTGTCCCAAGAAGAGTAGATGGGTAGGAAGGGTACGCAGCCTGTCAAAGAGCTTTCGAAAAAGGGGTGTAGGGCTTAGAGTTGGAGGGTAAGGAGTGGCGGTGCGGGACGTAGAATGCGAAGTGTCTGCAACCTGGTTCTCATACAAACCTTCAGTTTCCGTATAGAAAGGAAAAGAAAAAGGTCCGTGTAGTCCTTGACATGCTGGGAGGCTTCGAGTCACATGCGTGACTCAAGCCGGTTTTCTCGGAGGGGATGGGAATGCCACCGAAGCGCTTCGGTCCGTGAATGAGGCTGGAGAAGCTCGTGTGTGTGCGCGTGTCTGTGTCCGTGTCTGTTTCTGTGTTCCCCCAACTTGTATCGGCGTCACTTGCCGTGCCGAGCCTCTGCGCCACATCTGTCGACGAGCCGGAGAAATGGCGCTGCTAGAATCCAATGCCTTTTGCGCTATCCGGGATTCCTCGCGACTGGTTTGTTGTGAGAACCCCGAGCCCAGTCCCCTGGATGCCTTGGGGATATCACCGTTCGCCATGCCGCTATAATATCCGGGTGTAAAGAGATTGGTGAGCATGAATTCGAAATTTTTGTTTCGGGCTTTTTGGGGTTTAATTGACTAAAAAAGAAAAGACGAAAACGCGCTCTCCGCCATTCTTTGCCCTTTTTCCGCGTTAGTTGCGACGGTTAATCAAGAAAGGGCGTCCTGCAAGAAGGAGGCACGGAAAGAGATAGGCGTGGCAAGGCTCTACTCACGCGTTACACAGAGGCAGTTGCGTCTATTTCGCGATTGAAAAAAAAAGGGGGAGAGAAATGAGGGAAAACGGGGCGTCCAACCTCCAACCGGTTACTTGGGAAGAGATTGAGGGTAGAAGAATTTTGAGGGATCATTGGTGATGGAGGCTTGGTGCGTACGCGTATAGTGGTGCTAGGTTGTGCTGTTGACCGAGCCGGTGGCCGAGGTTTTTCAAACGGGGCATCTCGTAACAACAGCCGATGGCGAGCTAGGGCCGAACTGAGGGATGTAATCTATCTTGATGGGAATATTGGTGATGTTGTGGCCAGCGGAACATGTTGGCCGAGAAGGGAGAGGCCTTGAGAGTTCAAGAGGGGGTAGCCTCCAGTCTCGTCTCGTAAAGGGGCAGACGAGGCTCAGTCGCATGGCATTCTTCTAGGCTCCCATCCCTATCATCATGGAAAACGAGCAAGATTCGATTGATATAAATAACTATTAGCTATGGATATACGACGACGAAACGCCGAGGAGTACACAGCACGAGTGGCCCTATTACCTCCCCTCGCTCTGCTGGATATAAGACACATAATTTGATGACAGGCAAAAGGAGGATGAAAAACCCGTGAAAAAAAAGGCCTCGTAAGACCACCCCGCCTCGTTCACGTCGTGTTTGGTTGGCCCTTTCCTCGGCTTGAGAGACTCGCGAGCGAGATGGCTCCCGTACGAGCGGACTCGGGAGCCAGGGGCCCACGGTGACCGAGGTTGGGTAGAAGATGTAGAATGCTGCAAACGTAGCTGCATGAGAAGGAGGAGGAGGAGAAAAAGAAAAAGCAAAGCCAAGCAACCGAAAGGACACCCCGAATTCCGCCCGGCCCGGAATGATGGATAGCGCTCGAGTAGACGAGGACTCGTAGAAGATACAGACTGGAAAGAGAGCCACTTTTACATTACATGTTTCAATCCCGCATAACCCCATTTTCGTTATTCCTGGGGTTTTTTTTTTTTACTTCTCACGCTGCGTGAGGGGGCGGTTTCTTTGGTCTCGTCAAAAACTTTTGGAACCGCGAGGACGTAGAAACAAAAGTTGAGAAATCGGGAAAAAAAGACGGGTAAGAGAGGAAAAAGAAACCGATATCGGGAACCGGAGAGAGGGTGAGACGAGACGAGGCAAATAAAAGAAGAAAGGAACATGGATGTGTTTATGCGCCTTCCATCGGAGTGACGGCGAAGGAGTAGTTAAAGTCCAAAAGCCCGTCTAACATCCAGTGCTGGGGATCGAAAAATCGTAGCCGGCTTCGGCCCCGGCCCCGGCGTAGCCGAGCCCGCCTAGCATGGTGGTGGCCGCCGAAACAGGGACGCTGAGACCTGATGCGCCGGGCGTCAAGCCGCCATTCGCCGTGAGCATGCCGCTACCGCCGTGGAGGGCGTGGCTCGGCATCAGCGTCGCGTTGGCCGGATTCGTGTTGGTATTGGCGGCGTTGACGATGGAGTTGTCCAAGTGCGTGGAGGACGCCGAGGATTCATTCGCAGAGTCTGGGTTCGTCGGTTGTTTGAGAGCTAGAAAGGCGATATAGTTAGCAGCCGCAGGAAGAGGAGGAAGGTGAGGAGGACTGTGTGGGTAAAAAAGGGCGGTCATTACCATCTAAAGAGCCGCGTCCGAGGGCTTGATACTCTTCCCTCCACCGCCAGATGGAGTCAAAGACAAGGCTCATGCTGTGGCGACAGCGCACCTTGAGCTGGAGGGAGTCGTCAATCTGAAACGACGAGTCGTCGGGGTTGTATCCGCCTTCCGGGACCGAGTCGAGCCTGGCACCGTTCCACATCTGGACCATGAGTTCGGCGAGGCGGGACTGCAAGTCGTTTTGCGCCACGCTCGTCGTGCGGATGGCCTGGATGGTGCGGTGGAACAGGCTTCGGCCCCTCTCGAACTCAATCGTTTTGGCAAAGAAGGACCGGAGGAGTTTGAGCAGGGCGAACCCGGCGGCGACGAGCATCTGCTGAATGTAGTTGGTGACGTGGGGCAGCGGCGAGGTGTGGTAGCTTTCCTTCATGCCCGGCGACGGGGGTCGCCGAGGGCCTCGTCGAGGAACGCCGTCGTGGCTCGCCACAGGCCCATCAGGTCGTCCATGTACCCCTGGGTGGTGTTGGAGTCGAAGAAGCCGGCCAGGCGGAGGTGGAGGTTCGCTGCCCGGAGGTGGAGGGTGACGACGGGGCTCAGCTGGCGCGAGAGCACCGTCACTTGCAGCTCGGCAAAGTCTCGCCGGTACACCCTCATGAGCATGGCTCGGTGCTCGTCACCGGCGACCCCTCGGGGATCGCTCACGTTGCTATACATTTCCTTGGAAACCTTGTCGCAGAACCGCTCGATCTGCAGCCGAGCGTGCAGCTCCGGGGAGAGGCTCAGCAGGCCCTCGTCGTTGGGTTTGATCGCTAGGGTCCAGTCGTACAGCGTCGATGCCGGTTGGCCGTAACCCGTACCAATGGACTGGGCGACAATGTTGCAGACGGCCCACGTGGATATCCGGTCCTGGAGCTGCTCGCGGTTGAGCTCGACGGATACCCTGGAGAAATCCTGGATGTGATTCGGGCGATGGAGTCCTATCATTGTCGCCGTCTTCATCATGACGCCGCAAAGTATGTGGGTGGGGTCGGAGCTCGTCGTGCTTGTCGGGAGGGGCCATGTGCACAGCAGGCAGAGGGCCTTTACGACAAAGTAGCTCGTCGGTACGTCGCCGATGGTGGTCCATAGCAGATGCGTCAAGGGCGTCGCGAGGCTGGTCAGTAGGGTAGGGTCTGGCTGGTAGCGGCGGGCGGCGACGGCGATGATGGCCCAGAATAACAAGGTGTGCTGTTGGTAATACTGGTCGGGGGTTTGCTGAGGGTTGAGAAAGGGGATAAAGGGATGGTAAAAGGCAAAGAACTCGGCAAACAGCTGGTTCACGGCGTCTTCGGTGAGGCGCACGTTTTCCAATTCGTGCGTGATGCGCGGCACGCTATAAGAACCGCCTCGCTTGAGGTGAAGGAGCGACGACACGGCCTCGTCGGACCCCATCAGAGATGGATTTCGCGTATGGGTATAGTTGCTCGTGGCTATGGGTGAGTGCAGCTGCTGGTCGTCGTCGTCGATGCCGTCGGCGGAAAAGCCCTGGGCCCTGGCGCGTTGTATACTTCTCCGCAGGCGCTCAATTTCTCTTTCCATTTCCGCATGCTTACTGCGCTTGCCTATACGTTTGAAGTTGGACTCGATCTTGCACTCCAACTTGAGTCGGTTGCAGCGCGAGCAGCTTTGGAAAGGATCTTGCACAACATCGCATCGAAGCTAAGGTAGAGGAGGAAGGAGAAAGAGTTAGTGCAAGGAAGCATGCGACGACGAGCCGGTAGACAGAAGGGAGGCCGGTGCGGGGGAAGCAAAGAGGGGGAGAGGGAGGGTGGGAAGAGCTGAAGAGCTGAAGAGCTCGGGGCAAGGTAGAAGGCACTCGAACATCTACGGATTGAGGGCCATGCGCGTCTCGGTCAAGTCGGTGAGGGAGCTTTAAGCTTCTTGGCCCCCAATGGGGTTGGGATGTCTCAAATTGGGGGCGGGAGGAGGAGGGAGGAGCAATACCTTTTGTTGTCTGCACTCATTACAGGCGCGCTTTACACCAGGTTGGCGCTTCTTCTCCGGCTCGTTCGGGTCATCGTCGTGGGCACCGGTGCTGGCAGGGCTACTATCGGCCCCGGTCAAGCTTCCGCGTTTCCTCTTATGTCCGCCGTTGGCCTCGTGGCGGGCTCCGACCGGGCTGGTTGGGCTGACTGGAGTGACGCCGCCAGCAACCGTGGGCGAGCGGTCCATGGGGGTGGTGGGAGGGCACTCACGCACCCAAAGGGTGGGGAGAGAATTAACTCCTCGACGGAGGACGGAGGAAACAGAGGCAGAAGGGGGTGTGCGGTCGGGCAGGGCGGGGTAAAGGGCCGGTATATCTTAATACAAGATGCCCAAGGCTGATCGCATCCAATTGTTCAGTAGGACCGATCGCCGGTGTCGCGGAGCAAGCTCTGAGTTTGCTGAGTTGTCGATGGTGCCGGAATGCGCGAGGTCGGCCGAATACGGAGGGGGAATTTGGGGACTGGGCTGGTGGCAGCAGATTGAGCGGGGTTTTGGTTTGTTGGGCGAGATGTGGGAGGAGAAACAAGGCTTTTTTGCTAGACCGAAGCTGGGCACGACTGTGCTTTTTTACGCATATTTCTTTTTATCCATGAGCTGTATATCGCTTTATGCGGGAGTCTGACAGCTGCCTCAGACTGACAGGTCCCACATCGACCGATCATGGCAGCTTTCGGCAGCTGAAGTGGGGGATTGGTCCTTCCTATTGGTGGGGTCGGTGGTGTCACGCCACGTGATGGGAAAATCCGTGGGAGTCACACCCGGATAACTCAATTCAGGGTGGGGGTTGTGGCGCCATCAGACAATGAAGACTCGACAGATCCGGTGCAGGGTTCTCTAAAACAAGACTAGCGTGCTTAGGTCAGGATGCTCCTTATCAATCTATGTTAATATACAGGACCTGTCTGTCGGGTCTGGGGACTCGGTAGGCGGTTACATTCTTTAGTGAAATACACTGGATATAGACGACCCCAAGACGGGTTTGACGGCACGGTCACGGCGGCGAACAGGCTCTGATTGACAACGATGCATCCGATCTGGATCTGACTGCTATCATGAACTCTGACATTTGAAAAGGGAACATCTTCCTTGTCGAGCTCGAGCCCTTCCGCTCGCTAGATGACGATGAATTTAGTGTGAGATCTTTATTTGATCACTAGCCATCAAAGACTCGCACGCAAACTCGTGTTTTCCGTTTACACCCTGGCCGGCAATACCTCTATTTCTTGATAGCCAGGGTCATTCTTAATCAACGACCATGTCTAGTGGGGAGAGCACGAGCGGTCGACGCCAAGGTATATTTTACCTCCAGGCGCCTCCCGAATGGACGCCCGATAAACCGTACAGTGAGGCTCCGAGACGGCGGCGCGAGGTGAAATTCGTGCTTCCGGGAACAAAAGAAACAACCAGCCCCAGGTATTTATGGTGACCCCTCCCCTCCCCTCCCTCCTGTCCTCTCCCCGGTTGTTTCCCGGAAGGCCGCCTGCAGTCCGGTAGTGCCAGGAAAGGAGCGGAAAAGGAAAGAAAAGGATGATGAAGAAGAAAAAGAGCTAACCCGCATTGGGAAATGTAACAAAGACGCAGTCGTCAATTTCAACTCGGCAGCGGTTCCACAACCATTCCTCGACCCTGAGGTTTTGGAACGCTGGCGGCGTGAGAAGGAAGACGGCGAACGCGTCAAGTCTGAATCCTGAGCAATGCCTCTTTCCCCGCACACGTGGGAAGCAAAGGAAAGGACACAGCAGGAAAAGTTCTTTCGAGGGGTGAAAGAGGCGCGGCCGACCCTTGAGGGCCGTGTGGAGAACAGTGACCTCCAAACCTGCTTAGAAAGTCTCAGCCATCTCCAAATCCGACTAGAACAAGAGACGTCCTTGTTGTCTTGCGGCTTCTGTTCCGGGTGGAGAAGCACTGCCTGCTAGCTGTTTTTTTTCTTTTTTCTTTTTCTTCTTTTTCTTTGGTTGGAGGGGCCGAACCAACTACCGGGAACCAAAACCGTTGCCCGCCCACGCCCGCCCACCACTTACGCCGCCCTCCTTCCGGGGCGCAACCTTAGCATCAATTGGAATGGATCCGAGCCAAGGGTTCGCCCTCCTGCCACACTTGGGGATTGCGGGGTCGGCTCCATCAAACCCACACGTATCGGCAACTCGGGTGCAGTGGCTTGGAAATCAAGCGGAGGGAGAGAGAGGAAAAAGAAAAAAGGGGCAGGAGAAAAAGAGAGAATAGAAAAGTGCACGCCTGAATGCTACTTGTAGTCTTGCTCTTGTAATTGATTTGTATCACCAACCCAAATCTCCGATACGCGGTAGCTCCCCCACCTTCCCTACTTTCCCCGGTTCCCGGGCTTCACCCCCGACTTCACCTTCCGCTTGGACTTGAACTCCACCTTTTGTCGTCTTCCTTCCCTTTCCTCTTTTCTTCTCCTGTTTATATCCCCTCCTTCCATTTCAATCCTTGTCGTTTTTCTATTCCACAGACTTGTCTCTCCAGAACTCCCCGCCCTAGCCTCCACTCGTCTTTCACGCCCTTTAGCGTCTTCTTCACCATGGCCTCTTACACAGTACCGTTCTTCCTGAACGGCAAGGAACAAACCACCGAGCAGACTTTCGAAGTCCGCGCTCCCGCCACTGGAGATGTTCTTCACGCTTGTGCTAGCGCCAGCGCTCAAGATGTCACCGCCGCTGTTGACAGTGCCGCCGAGGCTTTCAAGACGTGGAAGAAGATGACGTCCTCCCGCCGTCGCGACATCTTTCTCAAGACTGCCGAGATCATGGAGCGTCGCAAGGACGAGCTGGCCAAGACCATGATCGAAGAGACTGGCGCCACGCCCGACTGGGCCGGCTTCAATTTGACCGTTTCCATTGACCTGCTGAGAGATGTGGCTGGTCGCATCTCTTCTATCGAGGGCACCTTTCCCTCCACCGTGGATGAGAATCTCGGTGCCCTTATCCTGAAGGAGCCCTTTGGCGTTGTTCTAGCGATCGCGCCTTGGTACGTCGAGTCGCCATCCAGCTCAAAGTCACGGGGAGTGTGTATACTAACGTGATGCTATGTGGCATGGCAGGAATGCTCCCTATATTCTAGCTACTCGCGCCGTCGCCTTCCCCTTGGCCGCCGGCAACACCGTCATCCTCAAGGGCTCCGAGCTCTCCCCAAGACTCACTGGGGCGTGGCCTCTTGCTTCCACGAGGCTGGTCTGCCCGCCGGTGTATTCAACACCCTCATGCACGAGCCCGCCAACGCCGCTAGCGTCACCGCCCAGCTCATCGAACATCCCGAAATCAGGAAGATCAACTTTACCGGCAGTACCGCGGTTGGCCGAATCATCGCCAAGCTTTCCGGACAACACCTCAAGCCTGTGCTCCTCGAGCTCGGTGGCAAGGCCCCCGCCATTGTCTGGGAGGATGCGGATCTCGACCAGGCCGCCCACGCCTGCGTCCTCGGCGCCTTTTTCCATGCCGGCCAGATCTGCATGAGCACCGAGCGCATCATCGTCCACAAGAACATCGTAGCTGAGTTCGAGAAGAAGCTCATCGCCGCTACCGAGACCATTTTCCCCTCCAGTGGCAACGCCCCCATTCTCATCACCGATGTCGGCGTGGGGAAGAACAAGACGCTCGTAGAGGATGCCCTCTCCAAGGGCGCCTCCCTCCTCGTCGGCAGCCTCGATTCGGCGGGCACCCCAGTCAAGACTAGCATGCGCCCCATCATCATCAAGGGCGTCACTCCCGCTATGGATATCTATCAGACCGAGTCTTTCGGCCCCACCGTTTCCCTCATCGAAGTCGACAACGAAGAGGACGCAATTCGCATCGCCAACGATACCGAGTACGGCCTGACCTCGTCTGTATTTACGGAAAATCTGCGCCTCGGCCTGCGCTTCGCCCGCGAGATTGAGACTGGTGCGGTACACATCAATGGAATGACGGTGCACGACGAGCCCACCCTGCCGCACGGCGGAACCAAGGCTAGTGGGTTCGGAAGGTTCAACGCTTCGACTGGCTTAAACGAGTGGTTGAAGACGAAGAATGTGACGTTTAAGTATTGATTGAGATGTTCTTAGAATTTTTGATACCTTCATGAGACTCACAATGACAGATCCATGACCATTTATTTACCGTTTCGTTTTTTCACATGACTTTTTCCGCCTCCCATTATTTTTTTCTCTGTTAAAATAGAGCAAGAAGACTCTTGTGCGCGATTATATCTTTCAGTCTCTGTGACCGATGTAAGAACAAGCAGCTCCTCGTCTTACCTGGAGCACAAAAATTGGGGGTGTTTTCACTCACCCACATCTTGAAACGTGGAGAGACTGGGATTGAGCAGATGGTGCAAGGCAGGCGGCCGCCCATGCACCGGGGTCAGTGCCTGCGGAAAGCCTCAAGGAGATGTTGACAAAATGGTGGGGGCGGGCCCGAGAGAAAGGAGGAGGAGGCGTCCAATGACTTTACGTCAGGGCCCTGGGAAGAGGAACTTCAACCCCTTGAGGATCACCACCAGCCCGAGTTATCATTGGTCCCCGCCAACCAAGTAACCGCCTGCAACGACCACTTCCAAAACGCGCAGTGGAAAGTTGACATGGATACTTGAAATCACTTGACTGAGCTGAGAGGAGGGCGCAGCGCGCGCTGCGGCAAGAGGCCAGGCTGCAAGAAGTCAAGGGGGTTTATAAGAAAGTAAAACCCTTCTCAAAGGACGCTGTAAAGCATCTACGCCGTCTGGCTGGATCTAGAATAATAGAGACACATGTGAGAGTAGTCTCGCGAGATACAATCAAGATGGCGGACGAGGATTTTACCGAGCCTCCGAATATCTACTCCAAGGATCCAGCTGTGATTGCCTCTCGTTACACAAACCCGCCACCGCGATCAGGCGATGGCGACAACGCACAATTCATGAAGAAGGCAGAGGCCCGAAAGCGCGTCAAGACTGCAGCTCGTCCGCTTGGACCCACAGAACGCCGCTATATCGCTGCCATCCAAGGCGACAGCAAGGCGGCGCAACGCCTTCTCCACGATCGGACGCCAACAGCAGGGGCCCACCCGCTCGTGCTGCGGCTCATCTCCGCCGCCGCTGCCGGGGACCTAGGCGAGGTGACGGCCCTGCTCGAGGACGGCGAGGTCGACATCAACGGGCAGGACGGACTCGGGTTCAGCGCGCTGTTCGAGGCGGCCTTTTTCGGGCGGGTGGAGGTCGTCAAGGCGCTCATTGCCGCGGGGCCAACCTCAACGCGCAAAACGGGCCCGGCAAGGAGACGGCGGTGCACGGGATCCTGGACCCGTCGTCGCGGTGGTTCCTGCGGCCGTTTGCGGAGGATGTGGGCGGTCGGGCGCAGGTGCCGGTGCTGGTACCCGCGCATCTGGAGACGGTCAAGATGCTCCTGCGGTACGGCACGTTTTGGGACTATAGGCGGTGGGATCGGCTGGATATTCGGGGCGTGGCGAGCCAGCTCCGGCGCCAGGGGGCCTTCCGTACCTCGAGGAGGCGCGGGTGCGGCCGAGGTGGGATACGTTGCAGCGCATCGTGGAGGTGGTGCTGAATCCGCCCATGTCGACGCGGAGGGCGGAGCCCGAGACGTGGAACCCGGCGGTGGAGGCGCTGCGGGGGATAAGGCCGAGGTGTGCGGGCATTACCGGATGAGGATCCAGTATCATAAGAACTCGGCTTCGCGGCACGTGTGCGTGCCTGTGGGGTCTTTTATCTATGGTGGGGAGGGGGAGAGGAATGCGGAGTTGGGGAAGATGGAGAGGTGGGCAAGGGGGCACTCGTATGGGCCGACGCGGCCGGAAGTGCAAGGGAGGTGGTGGAGGTGGATTCATCTCCCGGCGAATAATGTGGGTTCTGGTCCATACAAGACTGTGGTGGTGAACGCGGGGTGTTATGGATGATGAGGACTAGAAAGCTAACCATGCTTGCGCTTTATACAGAGGCAATGGGTCAAGGTATAATTTTTCCAACCTTTCCCTATGTGTGCTGGCTCTCGTGATGGAGAGATGGAACGTAGGCGTGGAAGCTAAAACTCCCTGCTGCAGGACCTTGTGCGTGTCCTCGCCGCAGAGGAACAGGAACGCGGGGCTACGAACGATACGAACGAGGCTGATTCGGAGGGCTTGGAGGAGGACGACAGACCCCCGCCATGGACGCGCAGTCGATGGATGTCTTCATCGACGAGTCGTACCACGAGGTTCGCGGCCTAGCGTCCTATGCGCGTTTTCGCAAGACTTCGTTTGTGCAGCACCCGGAGGACCCCGTCTCTTTTCCATCGTTGTAAGTCTGATTCAGGCTGTTGCCTGAGGGTGCGCTGGGGGCGGTGGGTGAAAGGGTTGACTGACGAGAAGTTTCCCTGTGTGCTTGTGTAGATTCCTTACTTTGACATGGATGCGGAACCTTTTTTGAACGTGAAAAGGAGGGCGGCCGGCGAGGTGAGCACTTTGAGATGAAGAAAAAGCTCCTGAGGGCGTATGGCGGCGATGGAGATAAGGCGCCTTTGGATTTGCACGTTCCCCGTACCCTTGATCAGTCGTATTACCTCTCCCTCCTAGATTCGCGAAGCAGAGACGAGGATCAAGTCGTGACTCGGTTTTACGCCCGGAAGGGGAGGCTCCCAAGGCGTTGATGGTGGGTCAATTGTGGATTTGGAGAATCGACTCAAGTATGTGTCCCTTTTCATCCCTCTCTAGTCACCAAACTATACCGCGAAGGGGAGGGCCTGCGTTTGTTGACAGTCACGGATACGACTTGTAGATACCCTCGTTACAGCCCTGCCGGAGAGGTGGCACGAAGGGCCGGAAATGACTCTGCTTGACAAGATTGCGACACACATCGCCGAGTGGCCTCCGCGGCGGCTTGAGGAGATGACGGAGATGATTATTGAGGTAGCCACGACCTTTATCGATGCGCCGGCTAACTCTGGGTTTGATACCAACGTGTTTGATATCTTTGAGGAGAGCATCGCGATGATGGTGGGTGTCATACCTCGCGGCCCCGTGAAAAAGTGGTCACTTGTCATGTTGATACGATACTGACTTATTCCTCGCGCCGTCCTGCAAAGGCCGACAAGGAAACACGGGCCTACAAGACCTTTTACAAGCAGCAAGAGACGTGTGCACGGCTCAATGGCAAAATCCGAGACAGGCAGCCTCTAACAGAAGGGGAGAGGGAGGTGTTGCGCAAGGCGGAAGACGACGTGTGCGACATACTGGAGGAGACGCGATACCTGGAGGAGATCAAGGATATCTGCGACGAGCTCAAGATGATTGAGAGGGTGTTTGAAGACCAGGCCAACTTCTTGACGGCGTACGACTCGTCGACGCCTTGGCCGCAACCGGTGCTGGAGCTCGATATCTGGGTGTTTAGGAGGCGGAAGTTGACGATGCTGAGGGTGGAGGCGGAGGTGGTGGAGCAGTCGGTGAGTGATTTCATTTTCTCTAAAGGGGGCATCGCGCCTCATCGGAAGACGAATCATCTGCTCACTTGGAAAGGATGCTGACACGCGAGGTAGCTCCGGACCCTTTTAGATCTGAAGCAGAAGCAAGGGAATCTCAACGAAGCGAGGGACACGAGAAAACTAGCGGACAACGCGGAGCAGAGGGCGCTGGAGGGGGAGAGGCAGTCCCAGATGATCTTCATCTTCACCGTCGTCACCGTCATCTACGTGAGTAGCGTAGCCTTCCCTTCTGAGCCCTTTTCTACTCGGGGGTTGCCTAAGAAAGGCCCTCGACTTTCTTTACATCATCTAGGGCTACATTTACGATGCCCTTTTATCACAAACTAACACCCTCCCAACTAGGCACCGATGGGATACACGGCCGCCTTTTTGCCATCCCAAGCAGGGATTTTCCTCACGAGAATAATAGCGACAGTGCGACGTGGGGATGGTGGCAGATCTTCATAGGCTCTTGTACGTCACTTGGCGCTCTGTTATAGGATAAATTAGAGGGAAGGGGGATGTAGAGGCTATGGGCGCATGGGGGCGCATGGGGACCTTGCTAACATATTCACTCATTGCATAGTGATTGCGGAAACGGTGACGTTGACTGTTGTATGGGGATATTGGTACTGGAGGAGGGAGAGCGTGCTACGCTTTCTCGACTGGTTTGGTGGGCGTGGGCGTGGGCGTGAGCTTCGAAACGAGGGAGGAGAAAATAGTAGGGAGACGGTTGTAGTGCGAAGCGATGGGGGCTCGGAAACTTTCTGTATAAGTGATGGGGAGAAGAAACAGAAGGGAATTTCTTTTTCTTTTTCTAAGTGAGATGGATACCATTGATATACGAGACGAAGAATTGGATATTTTGAACCCAGGACTCTTTTACTAAAGGTCGGCGGTCCTGAAAATGAGCAAGTGACGAAGGGTCTATTACTAGTTCTCCGTTGTCTGCAGCCAGAAACTAGAACATATTGACTTTCAAGGGAAGGTTCTGTGAACTGGACCTTGGACCGAGCGGGAGAGGGCCTCGCGATTCCTTACCGACATACCGAGCGACTACTTGCAGGTGTACTGCTGGCCGGTAGCCATGAGACTACGCCATTACATTCACTACTAGCCGTGTCTAAGAGATCGTCCGCGGAAATCTGAGCGGGATCTTCGAGATTTACCGGGCAGAGGGATCTTCATTCCGGATCCCCCACCTCAACGGGAGCTGTCTCCCAACTCCCAAGGCAAGGGGGAAAAAAAGGGCGCTCGGATGCTCGTTCGATTTACCTCCCCCACCTTATCATCATTCGGAAGCAGCGAGGTTCTATCTCAGTCCCGCGGCGCCGCAAGACGGAGCAGCGGCGGGGAGGGGAGGGAAGGGGAGGCAAATGGGGGCATATAGCAGCCGGGTGCTAAGGCCGTGTAAGCCAATTAGCCCACGCCCGCGCACCAAGACGGCTCGGGTGTTGTCGTGGAGACCAACGAGAATGCGCGGGTTCAATACTATGAAACGAGCTTAGAAAAAGGGCAAAAGAAAATGAAGAAAGAAGGTGCAAGGTTTACTCAAAGTGAAAAAGAAGCGATGACAGGGGAACAAACAAAAAGTTGGGATGGAAGTCCCGTTGTTTCGAAACATGCTAAGTATATTCCGGTGCGGTAGTCGATATGGAAATGGGAGGGAGATGAGGGGAAGACGGGGAGCTCAAGGGATGAGGGGTCACTTCCATCCTTTATTCGCATGAATTCCCGAATCTCTTGGAGAAGGAAAACGACCGAGTGCAGCGGGGAAGAGGGCAGGGAAGAAGAGAGGAAGTGGTGCGATTCAGGGGTTGCCGGGTGAATCGGGCGATGCGTGAGGTAGACTACTTTTTTCGGTGGGAGGGCATCGAGCAGGCCGGGAGCGGCGGCGGCGGGGACGACTAGATCGCGGTGTCGAGGGATTTGGGGAAAGAGGAGGAGGAGGAGGCTGGAGCGGCTCGGTAGCTTCTGTGCCTTGTCGCTGAGGAGGGAGGGCGTCGTAGTGCTGGTAGATCCATGTATATAAGTTGAAGAGGTCCTCGAGACCCGTCGCGAAGGTTGAGCACGTTCGATTCTCTCTCTCTCTCTCTCTCGCTCTTCCTTCATCCTTTCTACTCTATCTCATTCTCTCACAGATCTGCGGTGTTGATACAGAGCATACAACGGGGAATACACAGAAAGCACACTTGCGATACCCTTCTCTTTCCACACTATCATCTACGCCTCCCAGAGAGCCAAACAAGAAGAAAACTGCCACAGCATTCACAATGCAGTACACCATCCTTCTCTCGGCCCTAGCCGCCTCCCTCGCCTCCGCCGCCCCCTCGGCCTTCTCCCCCTCAACCCTCCGTCACATTCATCGACGTGACGCAACCCCCGCCGCGCAACCTTCTCCAGAGCCGCACCCCAGCGTCCGCCCGGACCCGACGCGGCGCCGCGGCCGTGACCCCGCAGCTCTTCATCGAGGACCCGGCCGACTCCAAAAATGCGCCGTGTCCAACTTCGCCGACCGCACCACGGCCTTTTCGGCCTCGCTCGAGGACTGTCTGTGCATCGCGGAGAACCTGGCCCAGCCCGAGTGGAAGGGCAAGTTCCTCATGCGGCCCATCGACGGCACCAAGTTTGGCGCCACCGCCGTGGGGTGCCGCAGCTGCGCGTTTCTCGTGGCCACTGACGACGAGTTCGGCACGAATGTCGGCGCGGATGACGTGCGCGAGTTTATCGAGGAGGCTGTTGATCGGTTCGGTGCCAAGTCGGAGGGGAGAGGCTGGGTGCCAGTGGCGAGACGGTGTGCGAGAATGATAGCGGGCGGGAGGGGACGGCGGCGTATGCGCAGACGACGTGGTTGTTGGCACATGTGCCGAACTAGAGATTTTTACAAGAGAGAAAAGAGAGATGGGACGATAAGAAGGAAGGGGTGGAGAAGGATAAGGGGTAGGCCCTTTTTCACAAGAAGACGTCGGATTCGTGTATATAATAGCTTTCAAGATTTTGTATTTCTCGACAAAACATCAATGATTACATAGTTTCTATCCTTCTGCAAGCGTAGTAAATGTCCAACATGTGTCTCTTTTGTCTCGCAGCTTCACCATGGTGATCGCGACGCACCCTTTCCGGCCCCGCATCGGTGCTTGCGGGGGCCGGGACGGAGGCCGCTTCTCCTGCCCGATCGCATCGAGGCTCTCCGTGCGTCATGCTCCTTTGAGCAGGTGGGAGTTCCGTCTCACTCCTCAATTGGGGTCTATTGCCACGAACGATGCGGCACAATCCACGATTTGACATCTGTTTGTGGGGGCCTGATTATAAGCTCCGATTATAAATCCATCACCATTCACATGCAAAGCATGGATATTTATAGTTGGTGGCACAAAGCCGGCGCCCAACATTGAATTCGATGTTTTCACCGGCCTGATTTGATAAGTCGTAATGTGCAATTGAAGATCATGGTCGCCCAGGATGCCTAATCCAGCTCTTAAACCCCATGCGTTTCCCCGTATTCTCATATATTCACGCCTTTGCGCGCGCGCGCGCTCGCCCAGCTTCCCCGCCCATATTGGATTGGATTTTCGGTCGGCAGACCGGCTCATGCAAACGATAAGATTAGCGCGTTTGAAGGGCTAATCATCATGAAAATTGAGCATCTCGAGCGAATCGAATCGCCAACGCATCATGCTAGCCCCGAGCCTAACCTCCCTTGCCTTCCTCTCTCGCACAGGGCAGATCGCCAAGTCTCCACGGCGCGAGTCCTGGCATGGTGCTGATGGACGCTTATCGCCCCAAACCCCTGCTCGAACCGTAGCCGCTTTTGGCCATGATTCGATGGATCTCCCACTTCCCCCGCTCCCTGCTGCTGCGTTGGTGACATTTCTGGGACCGCCAGACAACAACAGCGAAGGCTGAGCAGGTCTTGGTAGAGGATTGAGGCTGTGAAGTCGGGCTGGCATCAAAACCACCCCCTCGATGACATGCAGTGTTTAAAACGGGAAATTGACACTCGCGATTGGCCTTGGACGGACTCAAGGTCCTGCGACTAACCTTTTCCTTTTCTTTTTGCTCGCTGCCCCCTTACTTTTCACCTTCCTTTTATTTTTGTTTTCTTCGTCTGGACCCCCATTCTTTTTTTTTCTTGCAATTCTCGCTCAATCTTTATTCGAACGCTCCTTACTCTCCTACACTCAAAACACATTCACGCCGTAGTTGTAGACTTTCATTTTCGCAGCGACATCGCGCCTCCTCGCGTCGCCAAAGACACAAACGACATCTTTTCGTTCAATTTCTCAGCACTTCAAACTCACCTCCCAAAATGGCTTACCAGCAGCACCCGATGCCCGGCCACGTCCCTCACGCGCCGCCCCCGCCCCCGGCCGATACCGAGGAATGGCGTGAAGGGCTCTGCAGCTGCTGCAGTCCCGCCGAGACCTGCCTCCTCGGATGCTTCTTGCCCTGTTACCGTTAGTACTCCCCACAGCAAGTTGAATTGACTGCGACTGCCAAAATCGATGGAGTATAGGGCTAATCTCGGGCGTGCTTTGCGATAGTCACTGGTCGGACGAGTGAACGGATGCGAGACCCTACCATGCAAAGCTTTGAACCCATGAACACGGATTTCCTCATCAGCTTGGCCCTTAGCTGCACGGTCGGCTGCGGATGGATGTGCGTATCTGCCCCTTCCTCTCCCTTTTCTTTTCGTCTTTGATTTTCCTCGGTTCTCTCTCTCTCTCTCTCTCTCTCTCTGCCCCGTCCACTTTATGCTGACATCTAACCCATCTAGCTGGACCATGATGAAGCGCAAGGAGATCCGTATCAAGTACGGCATCAAGGGTGGCGCCATGGGCGACTGCTGCACGGCGTACTGGTGCACCTGTTGTGCGACCATCCAGCAGGAAAAGGAAGTTGTTACGCGCACCAAGGGCCTCGAAGGCGTGGTCCAGCAGGGTTACCAGGCCCCTGTCGCCATGAAGGCCGTGCCTCAGTGAGCAACAACCAAGGGGACAGAGGAAAGGCGCGCGCCCGTTGAATAGTTGCCCCTGAGAAGGGAGAGGGATAGAACGCAGCCTTGCTCCATGCGAGCTGGACTGGCTTGGCCTGCGCTGGATATCGCGAGAGGGAAGGTGGTTCATCTTCTTTTGCTTCTGTGCTCTTTTCGACTTTTTTCGTTTCTTTCCTTCCCTTCACTTTGTTTCCACCTGTTCACCTCTTTTGATTTTGTTTATCTTGTCTCTTGCGAGAGAGTAGCAGAGGATTCCCTAGATCCATATTGTGTGTCATATACCCTGAATCCGAATGAAATTGAGATTGGCGACATCTTGGGTCTGTCTATATCTGACTCTCCCTCGGGTGGCTGTGCTGTCTTGTCCCCTCTCACCTGTCTTGAGCCTCCGGCGTCATTGGAACCGTCTTTTCCTCGCCGTGATCCAAGAAGTGCCGAAAGAGGGGCGTTGAAGGGGAAAAGAATCAAGGAAGCAAACCAAGAAAAGAATGCTGTGGCATTCTACTAGGATAAGAGGAATTGAAGATGGAAGCAGGAGATGCTCGTCTTTAATTAATAAGCCTTGTGTAGGATAGAGCGGCGTGGTTGACGAGTGATCTACTCCGATCGGAACGTGTACGAGGGTCGATACAGATGCAGGGCAAAATAAGAAATCAAGGCGAAACCTGAGCCCCTCTTTCCTGCAAACGGGACAACTCTCAGAACGGGCTAATTACCTCCGCAAGTTTACAGGAGAGTAAGAAGTGAACAGGTGAACTTGTGCCCGGCATCGACGGGACCAATTGGACAGCCATCGGCCTCAGGATTGGTTGCCGTTGTCCATTTCAAAACCTCCATGTTATCGCTGGCGAGGGCGAGGGCGAGGGCGAGGGTAGCTGGCACTCAACTTGGACCTTCCCACAAAGGTGAGCACGTGAGCACCTCAAAGAGTGACCGGGCTTCCGCCCATTGATACTTCCAGTCCTGGATGAGCAGACTCGTCACTGTGTGTGTTAGAGGAGACGGGATCTATAGATGCATCATCGATAGGAAAGCGCGACGTTAGAAATTGGGGGGCCTCGGGGGATGCATCTGTGGGCCTTGCAGGCAAGGGAAGGCACGATCGAAGTTGTTCGATGGGACCCTGATCCTTCGCGAGACCCTTCTTTTTCTTCTTCTTTTTTTTTTGTAATATATTCTTGTCTCTCTTTGCTTCAACCTTTTCAAGTTTCCTTCTCTCCTCTTTAACTTGCATCAATGATTCCTAGAGCCTGGGTTTTACAGGCCTTCGGGAATCCACATGCTATCAATAATAAAGTGCACATTACCCCCACCGCTCCCTGCCTCGCATCCCATCGCCATCGCACACTTCCTGCGGCATCGCCCATTGCACGGCGAGCCGCTCATCAGCAAACGCCCTCCATGGGCTCCAATGTCTCCACGGTAGCGAGACCATGAGAATAGAAACAGGGAGTGCCAAGCGGTGGAGAAAGAGGGGGATAAGCAGCCCAACCACCAGGCCCGTCAGTCCATCTCACCTGCAGAGCAATAAACGGTGGACCATGTCGTCCCCTTTGCAAGGTGTCTGGACCTTCTTTTTCTCTCTCAGATTCTTCTGGGGGTTTCTCCCACGCTGACGAAATCAAGCTCACCCTATACATGGAGACAACACCAACTTTTACCGGGGCGGGAGCCCGCTCGAGGAGCGTGCTCCATCCCGTGTCCGACCGGCCCAAAAGCCAATAACCCCAGCCGATCCGGAAGAAGTCGAGTGACTGACTGGCGCCTTTTCTTCCCACCCCAATATATATGCCCCATCACCCATCATCCGTTGAGGGCGATCCTGCTTTTAATTCTCCGCCGTTGCCCCATTGGCTCGGTCCTCGTCAACGGGTCGCCGCGGGTATAGCGCTGCCCATTTTGACGCATTTGTTCCTCGCTGCTTTGCTTCGCCCTCGTTTTCTCTGTTGTCTTTCAACATTGCACGTCGCGGCTCAGATTATCCGGTTCTCCGCTCTATATTGCCTTCATTCTTTCCCCTCTCCATTTCGCCTTGTACCTTGTTCCCTTTTTTTTTTTTCTCGGGCAAATTTGATCTGTCAAGCTTTCTGCATAGATGGGCTTGGATGTGCACTCTTTCTCCTAAACGCAAAACAATTGCTCTTCTTGCTTCCCTTCCCGCCCCTCTGGTTTCCCTTGGTCGCCTTTTATGCTGGCTGGGCGTGTGTGTACTTCTCACACCCACCACGCCACGACACCAAGGTCGCTCTCCGGCGTGCACCTCACCTCGATGCTACCAGCCCTCGTGGCCTGCCTGCTCGACGCTGCTTGTGCCTCCACCACAACCCGCCCTCTCCTCCCCTTCTCCAGTCTGTTTCTTCCTACCTTTAAAGTCGTTGATTACTCGTGTGCATGTGGCTTGTCGATCATAGCAGGGAAACGTACAGGACATACTACTATCTGCGGGATTGCACAGCGGATACCGAGGTAGATCGCTTTGATCTATTACAATTGCCATGTCCCTATCCTGACACAAATCTATCGGATTGATGAGGGCTTCAACATGCTAAGATTCGCCGCTTTATTTGAAAAGTTTTCGTCTTCTTTCTGTCCGACTTCGCCTCTTCTTCTGTATGATTTTGTTAAGCGAGTAGCCACCCATCTATGCACACATGAACACACACACGCACACACATACACACACATATACATACTCGTACACACGTACACACATGCAGCTTTGCATACCCTGGTGGCTTGTACCTTAGCCGCTTTCCTCCCACTCGTCTCTCCCACCATAGTCTCTCTCCCCGTGAGTATGTATAGCCTAGCCCGGTCTTGGAGGGGCGGCAAGCTCTTCCACTACGTGATGTGGGATGGCGCGCGACGCCATGTTGGATATACAACCCCCGAACTAGATTGGAAAGGATGCTCGCCTCGCTCTGTCGTTTAACGGCTTTTCTCTTGCCCTCTATTTCTGCCCATCTCTCTTTCATCTCGTTAGGGTTTTCCTTCTTCTGTTTTTGGCGAGACCCCATGTTCTGGCTTGGCTCTGCGCAGAGAACCGAAGTACCTGATCAGTCGTCTTCCTCTCACCCTCGTCTCACCCCCATCATCCCTTTCTTAGCTCCCTTAAACCATGAAAAAACAAGTGACAAAGAAGTGCAGAAAGGAAATAGAGTAATTGCTTTGGCCGAGGAAGCTTCGTGTCTGGGAGTACGTGGGATTTCGGAAAAAGAATGAGCGAGACCGAGAAACGAGTGCTCAGCTGGCCATCTACCCTCTCCCCTTCCACCTCCATTTCCCCCATATTACGTCTTCCCGGAACCAACCAACGCGCTCTCGTCCGCCAGGTCACCGCCGCTCGTTCGAACCCGGTCTTGTTGCGAGATACAAGTACGTTGGGCAAAAAAGCTGGGTAACAGCTTCTACCTGCCTCACCTCCCCAGATCTTTCCATATTCCCTCATCTGCAGGTTTCGGGAGCCTTTCCCTTTTGCCTCTCTCTCTACCTCCAGAGCTCCCTTCTTCCCACTTTTTTCCATCCTCTTCCTTCCCTTCCCCCTCCCCTTCCCATATCCATATCCAGGTCCTTCCCTGACTGGTCAATCCAGTTTTCCATCCCATCCAGCCTGCGTCTCGAGGTGACCCCACCAAGGAGGACGCTCGCCCCCAACCTTGACTTATTCCTCTGGCTTCGGCTTGTATGCTGTAGTCTTTTCGATTCTGATTCTCTTTTTTCTTCTCTTTCGGGCTCCCTTTATTCCTCCTAGAGTACGGCATCTTAGGGTCTCACACGTGCAACGTGCTACGCAAACAGAGAAACCTTTCATGAGATGCTAGCGTAGCGCAAGCATCTCGTCCTCTCCCTAAGTTTGGCCATTTTTTTCTTCCCCCTTCGTGTTTCTACCTTGCTCCCTTTACACGTTCATTTCTTCTTCTCCTTCTTCTTCTTCCTATCTTTTGGAGGGAACGTCTTTGCCCTGCTTCGAGGGCTTTGGACTTGCTTCCGCTAGGGTTACTCTGGTTTCGTGTCATTGAACACCTCGTTTCTTGGAGGCACCACCTGCCCGCGTACGCACGCACACGATCTCGGCCCCCGCCACGCCCAATTTGCAGAGAGCAAGGCCAGACAAAATGGTCTTTGGACTCTTCAACACGGCCGACGCCTCAAAGCCTGAGGACGACGACAAGGTCACCTCCGCTACCGAGGGAGAGCCCGCGGCTGACGGCCCCGCCCCTTCTCTGCCTGAGAAGTCGGCCGAGAGGCCCAAGGATGTAGCCAAGGACGCCGCCGTTGGTCAGGAAGACGGCTCGACCTCAGAAACCGTTCAAAAGGATGCCACTAAAGAGACGGCGGCAGAGGATGCCTCAGACGGCCCCAAGGCAGCGGCAACGGAGACGGCCGCCGCCACCAACGAAAAGGGCGTCGACGTAGACGAAGTCTCCCCGCAGGCTCCGTCGCCGGAGACGAAGGGCGCAAGACCCCGTCCGACCTGAGCGGCCGCCAAACTCCGTCCAACTTGGATGGCCGCAAGACGCCCTCCGACCTCGAGGGCCGCCGCACCCGTCGACCCCCATCACGCCCCGCCAGGACCTCGCCCACATCGCCTCCCACGACTCCATCCGCCGCAAGCCCGTGCCCGCCCCAAGCTACGACACCCTGCGCGAGATGGCCGCCCTCGACGGCGCCCGCTCCGCCACCCCGGTGCTCGCCAAGAACCCGTTGGAAAAACCACCTACACCATTGTGCCCGAGCAGCTCGCGGAAAAGGCCCCCTCCACACCGGATGCTACCCCCAAGACACACATTACCCTCCCCGGCCGGAGGACGTCGCGCGAGTCACTGGTTAAGAAGCTCGAGAAGATTGAGATTAAGAAGCTGGGCCAGCTGTGGTGGATCGAAGCGGCCTGGTGGGGCGTGGCGCTTCTATCCTTTATCAGTAAGAAATCTCTCTCCTTATTTTGCTTGTCTCTTCTTTTTTTCTTTTTCAATTTTTTCCTTTTCCCTCAAAGCAAGCGCGCGCGTGCGTGAGATCTTCACTTCAAGTAGGCTAACGTGGGGGAAATCCGTTTCTCCCGAATCACAGTCATCGCCGCCGTCCTATCCGCCTACGACAACCATCCGCTTGCCACCCTCCCTCTCAATCTTAACGCCTTCCTCGCCTTCTTCACCACCGTGGCCACCATTTCCTTCCTCACGCCCGTGTCGCAGTCTCTCTCGCAGTGGAAGTGGAACTACTTTCGTGCCGAGGACCGCTCCTCGCCGACTTTGAGCTCTTCGACACCGCGAGCCGCTCCCTCCCCGGCTGCGTGATGCTTCTGGCTAAGCTTAAGCACACGCACATTGCTAGCGCCGGCGCTTTTATGGGTCTCCTGGCCCTCTTCACCGCCACTGTCACCCAGGCCGCCGTCGGGTACCAGCACGGACACGCGCCTCTACCGGGCGAGGGCGCCGCCGTGGTCCGGGCCGCGAGAATCCTCGGATCCGAGCAGGAGGGCGGCTTCGCGGACGGCATCGTCGGCGCGCTGGGCCTCGACGTCTTGCCCTTCCGACTTCCCGTGACCTGCGCCACCGCCGAGTGCGAGTTCCCGGCGCTGGAGAGCTTGGCTGTGTGCGCCAAGGTCAGGGACGTCACCTCGCTGCTCACCGAGCCCGGCGCAGCCAGGGCCAACAGCACGACGGGGACCTCGAGATCGGGAAAGAGGGCGGCGTACTCGGCCGCACTCCCGAGCGAGGCCAAGTGCTCCCTCGAGTCGGATAGCGAGTTCAATGTCTTGGCCTGCAAGACGGACGGATCTACAACACTCTCGTTTGGTGAAGATGACGACGACGACGACGACGACGACGACGAGAACCTGCGAAAGACGGTGATTTATTCCATGCCCATCATCTACTCCAACCCCAACTCGACGGAATCCCCCATCGGAGCCAAGTTTGAGGCTGTCGAAATCGTCTTCCACCTCTGCCTCAACACGTACGAGACCAAGGTGACAGACGGCGTCGCCGAGTTTAGCGTTACCGGGTCCTCGTACGCTGTCGGCTCCGAGTCCGCCGACCGGGAAGTCGACGTATCCTGCGCCGTCCTCCGTAGCACGGACACCAACTCCACGACTGCGGCACCCACCAACTGCACCGTCTCCCGGGGTGGCGTTCCCTCGGACGCTTTCCTGGAGCTGGACGGAGAGGACGGCATCTACAAGGCCCACTTTGCTACGCTCGAGGATATGGCACTGACCATGAACGAGGCACTGAGCGGGCTCTACGAGCGGGAACCGTCGCAGCGGGTTGTTGGGCGGCATATAGAGCATATTGCCGAGTCGGTCGTGTTTAACGGCGACCAGGATAAGCAGCGGGACAGGATCTCTCGCATGGCTGACAATATTGCCGTCAGTCTTACCAATACGTAAGTGATTCATATCCTGATTTTCCTCCCCCTCTTCCCCCATTCGGCGGACCATTGTCTATACAAACTTTGCATCCTCTCTCTTTATATACATGTACCCTCCCTTCTTTCGGGCCGATCAACTAACCTTTCCGTTTCTCCTCCTTCAGAATCGGTGCCAAGCAGCTCTCAGCCCAAACTCCGGGAGCCAACCCCGTGTCAGGCACCGCCTTTCTCCCGGAAACCCGCATCTCGATCCGCTGGGGCGCCCTGACGCTCCTCATCCTGCAGCTCATCGGCGCGCTCGTTTTCCTCGTGTACACGGCCATCGCCACGCAGCAGGCGGGGTGCCAGGTCCTCAAGAGCTCCGCGCTCGCGACCCTCTTCGCGCTCGAGGAGGACTGCCGCGGCGTCGCGGGGGCCTCGAGACAACCGAGGGTATGCGGCGCAAGGCGAGGGTCATGCTCGTTCGCCTCCGTGACGAGGCTATTGTCCTGGCCGGCGAGGAGAGCGGGCGGGTCGTGGATCTGGGCGTGCGAGGGAGCGTAGGTACTGGCTTGTCGAAGAGCAAGGAAGAGCTTTAACGCTGAGAAACACCTTTGTTTTTTTGGCCTTTCCCCCTCTTTCTGCGCCTTTTATCTTTTCCCATGCCCAAGGATTCGAGTAGATCCCCCTTTCCCACCTTTTTTCCCCCTTTTGGCTTATGATGATGCGACAATTTCTCTTTGTGTTTTCTTTTCTCTTCTGGATATCCCATATTTTCAAATGACATCCTTGCTTGTCATTGCTCTTCTCTTTGTTTATATTATTTGTGGATAGCTTTCCCTCTCTTTCTTTTTCTTCCCCCTCCCCGTCCCTGGACCCTCATCTCACCTTTTTCTTCTTCTTTTTGATTTTTCCGACGCGATGGGATTTTACACACTGGTTGGACTTGAGCCCCTGGGGACTGTTGAAACGGTTCGGCGCGAGGTAGAAAAGACACCTGCGGTGTAATGTAGATGGCTGGAACACTGTTGCTTCTTTACGGGATTGGGGGTGAACCCGGTATTCTTGGGTCATGGAATTTTATTCTTCTTGTCCTTCTTCTTTTTTTTTTTCTTCTACTCTTTTCCCTCTTCTTTTCTCTTTTACATTATTGACCTCGCCTCGTTTCGAGATTATAAGCGAAATAAAGTCTTTTTATCTTCATAAGACCTTTTACGCATTTATCTAGGAAAAATGTCTAACAAGGAAAGGTTGGTGTGTCACTGGATTGCTGGGCGCAACGACATGGGGAGCGCAGAGGCCTTCTGTATTTCGGCTTCGCTACCAAATCCGGAAAAGGTGTCTTCGGCGAAGGGAGGGAGAGCTGCAGCATATATCTGTGTAGATACAAGTAATAGGCAATGAAAGAAAACGCAAGTATATAGAATAGAAAAACCCCGTTCCTAAGCCGAATTCCAGATCGGTTTCGCCCCTCTCTCGCTTTTCCCCTTGCTTTCTTTACGCCCACTGCTCGAACCATCTGACGGCCTGGAGGAAAGCCGACTCCTTGCCAAACTTCTCCTCTGGGCTGGTGAGATTCGCGCGGACGGCAAAGCCGTGGTTGGTGCCGCTGTAGAGGGTGAACTGGTAGGGGATGTCGGCCTCGCGGAGGAGGACCTCGAGCTCGGCGCGGCGTTCGGGGGTGAGCGAGTTGTCACTTTCTGGGAAGGGAAGAAGGGTGATTAGCATCTTTCTTTTGGGCATTCTCATATCGTTTCCTTCTTCTTCTTCCATTCTGATACAGAAAAAGGACTCTGGGTTTGGGGAGGAAGGAAGGAAGGAAGGAAGGGGGGTTCTCTTCTTACCAGAGTAGGCAATGCTAGCAGCGACAGTGAGGTTGGTTATCTCATAATCTTCGGGGTTGCTCGGGTGCGCCGCAAAGACGGCATCGGCACCGCGACCTTCCGCGCCGAAGCGGAAGGCGAAGCGGCCGCCGAAGCAGTAGCCGGTGACGCCGATGCGGGTGGCGCCGAGCTCCTCGCGCAGGTAGGTGATGGCCTGCTCGATGCGGGCGTCGACGATCTCGGGCGTGTTGGCCTGGAGGAACTTTTGAATGTCCCAGTCGGGCTGGTTGAGGTCGCCGGGGGCGGGCTCCCCGGCGAAGAGGTCGGGGGCTACGGTGAGGAAGCCGGCGCGGGAGAAGCTGTCGACGAGGCTATTTTTGGGGGCGAGGGAGAAAAGAAAAAAGAGAGGTTAGATGAGCTGGATGATGAGAGGAAAGGGGTGGCTGAAGGGGAAAGAAGAAGTGGCTTACAGTTTGTTTTGGTTGAGCTGGATGCCGAAGACGTCGGTGAGGTAGAGGATGGCGATGTCGCCGTACTCGCCTTCGGGCTGGTTGACGTAGAGGGTCACTATGTTCGACAGGGTTAGACGAGTATAGGGTGGAAATTGAGGGAGGGGACGGGGAGGAAAGGGACCCAGCTTACGATCGCCGTCTGTTACTTCTCTCCGAGAGGCTCGCCTTCGTGGGCAATGATGCTGGTGTCGCCTCCGGCGCCGGCGAGAACACCGGACGCGGCGCAGAGTGCGAGAAGGGCCTTGATGGTGAGCATGGTGATGGGTTCAGCTGCTTTGTTTCGTTTCTGTTTTCTGCCGTAGATGTAGAAAGATCCCGTTTGCCTAGATTATGGAGATTTAGGCCTAGGGAAAGGATAAGAAAATTGAGGCTCCTTGAGAGTTTGTTTTGGTCTTGTTACTTTTCTTTCGCTTTTACTTGTAGAATAGCTCACTTTTCCGTTTGCCTGATGAAGAGGCAAGAAAAAAGGGGAGCGTTAAAGAGCACAATGCACCATCATATAATAAGTCTTCATGTCCGTTTCTCTATTATCCTTATCTTCCAATCTAATTGATATAGCTCTCTCCTCCCCAGCACATCTCCTCCTGCTGCATCCCCCCTCTCCTCCCACGGCATTAGAGATACAACCTCACGTCAGCACCAACGCCATTGCCACGGCGGGGGCGCGCGGTGGCCGGGGGAGGGGAGGAGAGGGGCCCAAGGAGATTTCATCATCTTTGACCGGCATGGGGTAACCATGGACACTCCCGTCCCGGCGAGCCGTATGCGGCAATACCTACAGATGTATCCTCCCTTGACCCCGGCCCAACGCCTCGTTTTTGCTGCTCCAGAGAGGCGCATGCGGGAAGAGCATCGCCGCGAAGAGTTTCTGCGTCATCCGGCCAGCGAAAAAAAGAGGCGTTGAATGGTGCCGGGTACCCGAGAGAAAAAGAAAAACTAGAAAAAGAAGAAGAAAAAAGAGGCTGTCTTACCTTGACATGCTGCTCTTCTTCTTCGATGAGAGTTCGTGGGGACCAAAACAGCAAAAAAAAAAAAAAAAAAAAAGGGCGAGACCTAGGCAACGAATGGCAATGCGCAATACTATGCCTCGTTTACCCAATTCGGGAAATACTATCGGGCCCCTCGGGCAACAGAGGAGACCTTGTTTTCGGCTAAACAGGCGGGGCGCGGCCGAAATGGGAGCGGGCGAGCGAAAAGCAGGACCAGAGATCTATTGACGAATTGGGGGAAATCCACGTCATTCAAGGCATTCTCGTCTTCTCGACAATCCGCCCTGGAAGTTCCCACGGAACTTTCCTCACCCCTCCTTTCTCAGCGGAAAAGCCGAGGTCGCCAAAAGACTCAATGCGAGAAGGGGAGCCGGGGAATAGAACGTGCTTGGGATTCGAATCACGTCGCCCTGTGCTGGGAGAAACGACGATTGCTGGCCACGGATGGTTCTCCTAGATCCATGGATTTATCTGCGACCCAGTATAGCCCGGGTTCCGGCATATACGACGTTCCACACCTCGACGCCCTTTCCCTCTCCAGGGCTCTCCACAGTCGCCGTTTTCAAGTACCTCGCTGCGTTATACGGTGCCGGATCCCCGAGAAGAATCGGATATTCGAAAGGGCTTGATGGCGTCTTAGAGGTAAAGAGGAGAGAGTTGTGACGAGGGACATGACTTCACATCGGGGCTGGTAGATACCCTAAAGAACAAGATCAAGGAGAAGTGCCTGAGAAAATCAAGACACGGCGAACAAATCACAAGAGGCAGAGGCAAGGCGCGGAGAAAGTCAGATGAGATTGTTCCCTCAGAACACAAGTTTTGACCAAAGTGAATTATTGTTGTGACCGTCTATCTACAATACACCGTCATCCACTCCTTTGCTCCAAGGGAAACAATTTCGTCGAGGGATGGTTTGAAGAGAATTTGAGGAAGAGAAAAGGACAAAAAGAAAAACACCGCCAAAGAAGAAGCTCCCAATAAAAAGTCATGTTCCCATCGAACAAGGGGATCCTTTGCCCAACGCCCGCGCGATAGTTTTCGTCAGTTTTTCCCAAGAGAGGCCGTGTCGCGCTGCAGTAATTGTAACATTGTATGAATCATCCAAAACATGTTTTTTGTTGGAGGACAAAAACAATCCGAGAAGAAGAAAGAAAGAAAAAAGGGACGAGCGAAGAATTCTCTAGTTTTCTGTGGGAGAGAGCAGGAATAAAAACGTCTTTGCTTTCTTTTGTTGTTCTTCTATTCTTGGGTAACGGAGAGAATGGAAAGAAGTAGGAAAGAAAGAAGCGGCTAGGTTGTACGAGCAGGCAGGGCAGCGTGTGCATTGATGGTGGCATTGAATGTGCGAGCGCGTGTTATGCTATGCGTGTGTGCTGTGCGGATATAGGCGTGCAAGTGCGTGCATGTGTATAGAGATGAGAAGAGAGAGATCTTCGAGCCTTTGAGGGAGAAGGACTGGTACACAGGTACGGGCTTGGGTTGTGATTGTGGTAATGCTGGTGTTGGATGGAATTGCCGTGCTAGGATGGCGGAGTCCGAACCAGAAAAACTTGCCTCTTGAAGCCTCTTGTCAAACGTTTACTTTCGATTGCTGCACCTCAGCCAGAGAGAAGGAGGAGAGAGAGAGAATCGCTTCGGCGTGTTCGTCGCGCAGTTTCTTTATTTCGCTTAAGCGGCGAGGATGGCATCGTTGAAAGCAGTGACGACGGCGTCACCACCACCGACACCGAGACCCTGGTCCTTGAGGAGCTGCTGGGCATCACGGCAAGCGGCGATGGCGGCGTCGTTGGCACCGCAAATGTTGTTGAGGTCATCGCAGATGCGGTTGACAATGATGTCAGGGTTGAGAGCCTCCTGCTGGTTAGCAGAGATGGTGGGCTCGTTGGACTGGAAGGTGAACTCGGTGTCGGGGCGTCCACCGAGACCTCCGGCGCGGAAGATGGTGGGGTCGCACGTTCCGAAATCGACGGCACCGTTACCGGCGGCAGCACCGTTGCCAGCGCCGGCATTGTTTCCGGCATCGGCGGCGGCCTCCCCATCGTCAGTAACAACGCCAGTACAAGCGTCACCATTACCTACAGCAGCATTGTTGCCAGCGTTACCAGCATCAGCGTTACCGGCGCCAGCATTGCCAGCACCGGCACCAGCACCAGCACCGGCGTTACCGGCACCGAGACCGGCGAGATCGACGGCGTTACCGGCGGCATCGACAGCCTTGAAGTTGGAGAAGCCCTGCTGGATAGCGAGCTCGGCAACCGAGATACCGGTGGCATCGAAGGGGTTCTGGACGGACTGGGCCGAGTTGGCGTTCTCGACGTCCGCACCAGCTACGGCTGGGTCGAAGAGGGGAGGATACCACGGAGAGCCGCGGTGGCGGGGAGAGAGGCATCAGCGCAGATGTTGCCAGTGTCGACGGCGAAGGGGTTGAAGTTCTGCTCAGCAGCAACGACGCCGATAGCGGCGGCGATGACCTGAGGGTCATCACCGAGCTGGGAGACGATGTCATCGGCAAGCGAGAGCTATCAGAGCGTCAATGTTAGAAATCATGTGCCTTTTACGCGTTTGCGAACCGCAAGATAATAAATACGGAGAAATCGGTGACTGGGGGTTCTTACCTTGGCGCAAGGGCTGGCAGCGGCGAGGAGAACACCGGGAACCTGACCGGAGAGAGTACCGGCGGCACCGGGGTTGCCGAAGTTGCCGAGGGCCTGACGGCGGCGGAGGCAAGACCTTCCTGGCCGAATCGGGCCTCAACGAAGGCAATGGCGATGGAGATGATGGCGAGCTTCATGGCAGACATTTTGAATGATTTTGGGGTTTTTTGTTTTTTCTTCCGAAAAATTCAAATCAAGTATGAAAAAAGTTGAATCGAAGACCGGCTGGCGGTTTGTAGTTGATAAAAAAGTAGTTGAGAGAGTAAAGAGTGTATTGACAAGAACGAAAGAAGGGCGTTCACAGAACTGCAAAAAGAAGGAAAAGTGAATTGAAGAAGACGGAAACTTGGTCGATGAGTTGATGAGGAGAGAAGAGAAAGAAGGGAATACCAGGTTGATCGACGGAAGGAAACGACGATATATATATTCAGGTTGGACTGACGATGCACGCCCGCCTTCCTCCTCCTTCGCCCCCCGAATCCATAATTGGCGGCTAAACAGAACCTGGGCACGTCAAGGGCGATCCGAAAAAAGGGGCAAAGGGCCTTCCCTCGATGACGATGCACTCGCTTCAGATTGCTGGGACGGTGGGGGAGTGCTAGGCTTCAATCCTCCCAAGCGCATGGGTGCAAAATCACCCTTGTCTGGGGAGCAACAGAGCAACAGAGTTACAGAAAAGAGCACCGCCTGAGCGACCCGACCCAACGATCCCAGGTCCCCAACATACCAAACAATGACGGTAAGGATACACGGCAGGGAACCACAAGAAAGACCGCCTGCAGGGTTGGGAGGAAGAAGAGAAAGAGAAAGAAAAATTTGGTTTAGCGGGTCAGGTCCCTCTCTGCGGTTGCCCTTGCCCCCCTTGACGACGATCATACATGTGCGGCCGTGACGCTTGAGACAAGGCACGGCATGAACGTCGCAGGCCACTATTTTGGGACGACATCAGGAGACAATGCGTAGTCTCGCGGGGTTGGTGCCCTGGTCTTTGCCAATGGCCCTCCTCCTCAAGCCCCTGGCTTGGCTGGGGCAGAACATTCCATGCACCCTGGCAAGAAGGATGGAAAACGTGCTCAGGGCATCGTGTACGAGGCGTTCGAGGGAACGGGCAACGGCGAGGAGGGCCTGTCAGGCACCACCGACAGCGCCGTTATTACTCGAGTGGAGCCGCTGTGTCGAGGGCTAGCTTCTAAGCGCCCTCCTCATTTTGTTTTGACCTCTGACGACGGGGGACCCTTCAGCGCAGGGTGTCATTTTGCCAACAAGGGGGCAAGGAGCGGGACTCCGTTGCTGCTTCAAAGCCCGAGAGCCGGGCGGCAACCCGAAATCTGTTGCAGCTGTAGCTGCGGCCTTCCCGTGGGCCAGGCGCGTTGAAGAACGGACACTCGCGCCTTGCTTCCGGCGTGTGTGGAAGAGGTCTATTGAAGAATGATTATCTTTTTCTGTACTCTGTTGGCTAGATCCTTTTCTCGTTGGTTCTTTTTGGGGCGGTAAATGGAGCTAAGCAATTAAGCTCCTGTCAAACTTTCAATTATGATTATCCTATAAGGATAGACATAGACAAGAGGCACAAGAGGCATGCCGATGACGAGTCCTCCATCAATCGAGTCCCTGATCCTCGCATCCTCATTTCCTTTCATGGATTCTGCGTAATGTACATCATTACCCAACTCTCCCATCATCATTTCTATTCTTTGGGACCTCGCACCTTCTCTCTGTCTCTCGGTAGATCAGTTTCTCGCCGTGCTCCTTCTCTGGTTCGCAGCGGCGCGGGTTGCCCTTGCTAGTCAAGTTCGGGGCTTGCTCTGCTCAGACGACGCGGCGGGAAAGTCCAAACAAGCTTGTGGGGAAGCGAAGACGTTTCAGGGCCGAGAAAGAGGACCCTGCCGCCCAAGGGTAGACAGTACGACACCAGCAGGTGCTAATCTGCGCTCGCGACTAGGTACCTATACAAGTCATTGTTTGCTGGTTGAGAGTGTGTTACTCGAAAAGCCTTTGTGAAAACAGTGTCAGATAACACTGTACCTGCGACAATGCATGCAAATTTGGCTTGATAACAGTGCGAAAAGGGACGGGCCACTTATGATCACATGACTTGGTGCTCAGACTGCCACTGGAGTCCTCGATTTGTTTGACCCATTCTCGAGCCCTGTTCGTGTTGAGGGTTCGGTGCAGGTACAAAGCACAGGTACCAGACCGACGCAGGTGGGACACCCACACACGCTGGCAGCCAAGCCTTTGCCTCTCCAATGAACCAAAAGAATCAGGGGCGGATCGGATCCGCTCCGATCAAACCGTCCAGCCGGCGTCGGCAGGGGGTGGACATCCTGAGACGGTTTCGAGACTCGCCTGTCACGAAACAGTCCGTACTATACGATGTCGGGGACTCCACTTATTGTTCCCCCACTCTCCCAACGACACGACGCTGGACACGCTTGCTTCCCCTGCCCTCGACTTTGGTCCCAAGCTTTGGTCAAACTCCTTCGATCAATGGATCTCATCTGACCCCATCTCGATCGGTCACAAAAAGGGGGAACAAGAGAAATCACAGGTGACGAGGAAGGTTTAGCCTCTTTCCCCCTTTGACAGCTTGGCCCTGATTGATCTGCTCATGCGGGGCGCCAGCCCAAATAAGGAACACGACGCACTGAGAATCAAAGCTGCGGCACTGCTCAATTTCTCGTCAGAATAATTAAGCTCAGCTGCCGCAGCTATTAGCATCGCACTCTCGGCACACTCGCTGAACCATTGGTGCTAGCAAACCTAGCCTGGGGCTGAGCCGTCCCGCTGAGAAGGGCGTCGAAGAAGCAGACTTGAAAAATGGTCAGAACCGACCCTGTGATGATGCGCGCGCATCTTTGATCCCGGGGAGCTGTTCGAAACGACTTGACGTTTCGATCCCTTCTTTTACTTTGCTTTGAACTGCCTCGTCTTTGCTTCACTTGGATTTCCTGCCCCCTAGCCCGTGACTTTGTTCCTCTTCGTCTTCTGCTCTCTCCACTCCCTCTCTCTTTGTTGTAGCAGGGCCGGCCTTCGGTAAGATCCGACCTCCTACGCATTCGCGCCCTTAACCTGGCTTCTTGCCTAGGAACCGGGAACGCCCTGGTGTTTTGGTCTGAAGTCCAGACGTTTTATGTCATGCAAACGAAAACTTGCTGATAATTCACGTCTTCGTCATCCTCCCCCTTCCCCGGAATGTCCTTGTCGCGACAGGGTCAACCCAGCATTACTAGTAATATCACATAATACAATTCGATCAAGTTGGGCTCACATCGTGATGCAAGCTCCACCTGGTCGGTCATGCTATGCTCCCAAGAAGGCTGATGTAGCGACTGTAAACCCCACTCGGGCACAGAGAGAGCACAGCCCAGATCTCACGATCATCATCGACAGATCATGACCCAAAGACTAGAGTCAATGATAATACTCTTGTTTGGTAGGTTTTCTCTGCCTCTTTGCGTGTACATGTGTATGCAGTGCGTAGATATCACGGAACCCATCGATCCTCAACCAGCGGTTGCAGGAACCGGACTTGCTGCTCCGCTCTTGCTCTTGCGCAACAAGCAAGCGCAAACACAAAAAGCGGAGGTGCCCAAGGGTTCAAGGCCATCCATGAGGTCGAGCACCGCTCATGCCCCGTTCGAATTTCGGCACGTCGATCCCCTTTGCTTCGACCAGCTGGCTCCCCTCCCTCCTCCGTGGGGAGGCCCCATCCATCCTGTTCACTTTCGGTCGGATGGCCATCCGATCTTTCTCCAGTCTCAAGTGTCAGAGCTTGGAGGTGTGGTCGCTATGCGAAGAGGTAGCCACTGCCAAGCCTAGGGAAACCCTGCCCCTTGCCCCAAAACGCCCTCTGTCTTCTTTTCCCTCTTGTCCTGAGACCCACGAAATAGTTGGTGTCATGTCTTCGGCTGGCAATGCCCCAATGGTTTCCGGCAAGCCCCCAGCACAGGCCAAAGATCTCGACGAATGTCTGGTTGAGCCCCCATGTCCCGAATCAAAAAAGAAATCGACAAAACTGCCGCCCGCACAACCTCTCCATGGCCCGTGCAGCACGCTGCGCAGGCGACGCATCGTTCTATCGTGCCCTTTTTCTCTCCTTCTCGTCTTCTCGTCTTCTTTCTCTGACAAGTATGGTCCCAACCTCACACTTTGCCAGTGCGTGGGAAATGACCTGCTTTCATTCCTATATCAGCAGTTCCCCAGGGTGGAATGGCGTTGTTACCCTCTTGACGCGACGGCTTCCGTAGCAAGAGTCTTCTTTTAGGATTCGGTGCCCCAATCTTCCCCTTAGAACCCCTTCTCTCCCAGTATTCCCTTTCTCATCCTCCTCCTCCACACTCTCTTTCCCTTCCTCTGCTTCCCTCGTCATTTCTGCTCGAAACTACACCATTCGGGATTAGCAAAAGGCATAAGCTTGAACGTGGGCAGCATGAAATGTCTCGGCCGTGTCGCCGATTGCCGCCCGCAAATCCCTACTGCCTCTGGCACCCCCTTTGCCCTCGCAACCCCAGCTGTCAAAAAATGATTTTGGGGGTATTAGTCGGTGGAAATAATGGGTGGGCCCTGCCGCGACGGTCATGATCGCCCTTGAATCTCCTCAGAGCGCAGGACACATCAGTATGTGCTCTCAATGCAATCCCTACCGAGGCTTTAATCCCGTTAAGCTCTACAGATCGCTTTTAAGCTACCGAATTGTTTCTCTGTTACCGATCGCCGAGGGAGGCCACTCTTTTAGAAGATGAGAGACGATGGAAGATCAAACAGACAGCAAGAAGAAGAAAAAGATATGGAGAGGAAAAGAAGAAGACAGAAACATCAGGGTGCAGGGCGGCTACTCGCCCACAAGAACCGTTGATCTGCTGAGAACAAAAGATGGGCAAGGACACGCGCGTTTACAATTGACACAAAGATTTCAAATAGAAAAAAAAAAAGTCGTGTTGGCTTTTTTCGCCCCATATGTACATTGACAAGGTAAGCTAATAATGTAGGTACAGACATCCCGCGAAAACTTGGGGACCCTTTGGTGTCTTCCTCGTTCTCTCCCCTGCCGTCAAGGCCATGGACAAGAAAAGCTAGCTGCGCGCGCGCTCCGCTATACAACAACTCTAGAAATCATCAAACTCATCGCTTCAATTCACGCCACCACCCCTCGTACGCGGATTTACCACTCGCCAGTGATGGTGGGGATGTCCCAAGGAGCCCACTCGGCGACGTTGACGGTCGCGGTAGACTTGGAGATGACGGCGGGCTTGGTGGTGCCACCGTTGATGAAGTAGTCCCAGAACTGGTTGATCTCGTCGTTCTGGTTGCCGGGGAACTGGCAATGGTTGTGGCCACCGACGAGGGAGAGACCCATGTGTTCGGCGACACCGAGAGCCTTGTAGATGAGCTGACCAGCTTGCATGCAGCCGGTGATGGCGACGGGGCCGAGCCAGTCAATGTCGTTCTCGGGAATGTAGAGACCGCGGGGGCGATGAGGGCGACGAGAGCCTCGTGGTCGACGGGGTCCTGGTTGATCTTGCTGGTCCAGGCGTTGAAGCGGGTGGAGAACCAGACGTTCTCACCCACAATCTGGCCGGCGTGCTGGATGTTCTTGCCCTTGGCCTTCTCGTCGTCGGCGATACGCCAGCAAGCGGCACCACCGGAGCCAGACTCCTGGGGGATGGTGAGAGCAATACGCTTCTCGAGGGCACCGGCGATGAAGGCGCCCTTACCGTTACGGGAGCAACCGGTAACGGCAACGCGGGTGGGGTCGATGCCGGTGGTCTCGGCGCCGAGCTGCTCGAGGGCATCCATGATACGGCCAACACCCCAGGCCCAGGCGGTCAGAGCACCAGCGGAGTGGTCGCTGCCGAAGAGGGTGTAGAAAGCACCCTGACCACGGGAGTTGCCACCCTGCTGGGCGCCGAACTGGTCGTTGGAGAAGGTGATGGTGGCAACGTTGCTAGGAACGTTGACGGAGGGGAAACCGTAGGCAATGACGGCACCAGAAGGACCACCGCCGGCAGGCTTGGAGACGGAGGCGGAGAGGGTGGCGGTCTTGCCACCGACACCGATGGTGATGGAAAGACCAGTGCCGGTCATGGAGGCGGTGAGGGTATCCGGGGGCCGGGGAAGTCACCGAGCTCGGTCTGCTCGAGAGCGTACTGGAGCTGCTGCTGGCGGCACTTGAAGTCATCGATGGTGGCAACGGTGGAGCCATCCCAGAACTTGAAGGGGTCGGGGAGCGTCTTCTGGTTGACGTTGGTGGGGAGGGCGGCCTTGGCGTCGCAGGCGGCGTCCTGGCGGGGCGCGTTGACGGCAGGCATAGCAAGAGCCGTGCTCGCGAGGAGCAGGGCCGCGGCGGATCCGAGACCAGCAACCATGATGACGGTAGACAAGGTAGAAATCCTTTGTTTCTTCAAGTGGAAGGCTGAGCAGGAGAAAAGAAGAGACTGGAACCGAGAGAGGCTAAGGAGTGGACGGGGGCTCTGGGATGAAGAAGGAAGAAGAGAGAAGAGGGAGAAGCCTGGTTCCTGTCGAGGTGAGCCGGGCGTGAGATTCCTTATCAATGCCTGCGAAGACCAAAGAGGGCTGGTGATGGTTTCCGGAATATATAGAGGCGGCCTGGGGACATTGTGCGGGTTCCTCCCTTTAACCCTCAACCTCCGCACGCGATACGGTATTAAACGGGGGTGTGTGTATGTGTGCGGATGGCCAAGGCCCGGCTCCTCTCCAGGAACCGCGGAACTCTGGGTAAGTGGTCCGGGGGAGGGGGTATCATGTTCGGAGATTCCATAGACAGGTGAGGGGACAAAGGTATTCCTTGGGCTTTCCTTAGGGCCAAGTGATTTTTCTCTTTTCTTTCTCTTGGAGGGGGTGGGCCAGCCACTATTCCTCAGCACATCAGGCAACGCACGCCTAGCCGGAGTATTGGAGATTGAGGGAATCGGGATCAAGGTTTATTGCTTGTAGCGGATATTCGTGCCTGACCAGTGGGCGGGGAAGGGGAAGAAGGAAGAGAGGGGAGTGGGGTGCTATGCTGTCTATGTGTGTGTGCGTGTTTACCGTTTACCGGATGTAATCTAAAAGTGATGTTGGGGTCAATATGGGATGAGAGGGGCGCTTGGCCATATAGAGCAAGACGAGAAATTGATGTAGTTCAATCTCACTTTTTTACCTCTTCCCCTCTGTTTCCTTTTTTTCTTCTCTTTCCCTCACAAGTTGTCTTCCCTCCTTCCCACATTGTACTTTAGGGTGCGTATCGCTTCCAAGTTGTGTGAACATGAGGAAGATGAATCCCTTGTACAGAATCCTCGCTGTGAGGGCGAAGTGCTTGTATTAAGTGAGGGCCAAAAAGGACGAAGACGATGTGTCGGCGACGTGACGGCAAGGAAGGCACAACCGTGGAGGGTTATCCGGGTCTTGGCGCATGCTGCCGGCGGTCGTGGGTTGTATACGGGAATATGGAGCTTTTTCTCTGTTTTTCCCAGATAATGGGTCCATTATTGCCCTACTCACTTGATCCCCTTCCTACGCGAGGCTCCCTCTCACTCAGTGTTCCTGATATAATCAAGATCCCTCCACACCCCAACAGTAAGTGGCCCGGAGTAGACTTTCATGGGTCGCGGTGGGGCCGTGGTAATTCTCCTCTTGCAATGCTTGAGGCTCTCCTTCTCTTTCTCTGTTACAGGGGCTCAGGGGGCAACCGGTGCTGCCATGAAATAAAACAAACGGATCAAAGGGGGACAGAGAAGAAAAGGTGGATTTAATATCGGACATTTATCGAGGCGGCTGAAGTGAATACCTGCGGCGCCCAGAATTGGCCATCACCCGGCATGGGTCCTGGGCTTGCATTGGCCAAGAAGAACAGTGGGCTCAGGGCAACGAATGGAACTTTGGAACCTTTCCTGGGCGTTTTGCGGACTGCAACGTTGGAAACAAGTTTGCGGTTGCGTGGGGAAGAGCGACCTGGGGTACAGCAGGGCGGAGGCTCTGGGAAGAGTACAATAGCAAGAGCTGCTGAACGTGGGAAAGGCCGGGCGTTCAAATGGCTGACCTCCCTTGGTTTCGCGAAACAGCTTGGGCATTTGATCGACCTCTATCAACTAAACCAACAATGTGAAAGCCCGTTAAAAAACAGGCGAGTCTTTATCCGTTGCCAGGGGAGAAATGGGTCGAGGCGGGTTAAAGAGCAAAAGGGAAAAAGAAAAGAGAAATAAAAAGGATATTCAGCACCCATTGTCGCTAAAACTAGGCGCACAGCAACCGTGCGGACAGGGTATTGGCCGTGAAGAGCATCAAGATCATGGGGGATTTATATTCGGTACGGCACTGCCGGGCGGCCCTGGCATGCAGAGAGGGGCAGGGAGAGCAGAGCGGAAAGGCGAAACGAATAAGGATCAGCAGGTAGAGGGACAGCATCACCGATGCTCGAACCGGCCATCTTGATTCGATGATAGACCAAGGGATACCCGGACTTGAAGGCGATAGAGGATATAAATCCAATTCAATTGTTGTATATAGAGAGTACGGAGTATCGGGATCCATGGGTGGGAGGCGCGTCGTGACCTTACCTTCGGGGTACATCATATTGGTATTCATCTAACAAGTACCCCGGAGAGCAACGCATCACGGCCGTTTTACACACATTGGACCAAGCCCGGGACGGACCATGGTACGTATTCTTATTGGAGAAAGCGCTTTCTTGGACAACACGAACAAGGAAGGGACAAGGCCATTTTCTCTTCCATACTCGCACTTCTTAGAGGGAACTTTATGTTGAACCACTCGCTAGCCGGACGCACGGAAGCTTCAACCAATGCGCCTACCTTCCAGGTCAATCTTCCTTCAGTAGATTCCACGCTTTACCTTCCTCGCCCATCGTCAGCATGTCGATCTCCTCCTCGCCCCGTTTCCAGGGAACAAAGCTAGGCTGCGATATGTCAACTAAGTGGTAGGATTAGATACCGGACCAGCTAGGCCAATCATTCCATTTTTGGTAGTTGGCCAGTTGAGCATCCTCGCTTGAGTGCCGGCGTTTTCCATGAGGGTATAATACGCGCTCCCTTAAGCTTGGTCCTATTTACATTGACATCCCTTTTCCTGTGCGTTTCAACATTCAGTGCATGGCGACAATATGGTGATTGCATAACAACAATAGAGAAAGAGAGAAAAAGAAGAGCAAAAGACGAGGTAGAAAGAAAAACACGAGCGATGGCAGCAACACACAAAGTGCTTCCTCTAGTCAGCTAGAATGGCCAGCCCCAAGAAACGGGGCAGCGCCATATCCTAATTCTAATGTGCCTTGTCAACCAACTTTCATGGTGACGCACGGCAGGGTTCGTCGGGGACATATTAACACACTGAATGGGGATATTGGGGTGTATAGTATGCGGGGAGTGAGACGGACGGAAATGCCACATCATTTTCCACGAGTCAGAGAAGAGCCAGAGAGAGCATGGCGGTATGGGGTCCAAGGCATTTGCCGTGGGTTAATTCAACCGGTGGGGAAGAAGGCGATCGACAAAGTAGATGGCTTCTCTCTTACCCACCCTGCAAAAACAAGAGAACAACGGAGGGGCAAAAAGAAGAAAAGGACATGAAAATTAATTTATCTGGTGACGATTTCTTTGTGGCCGATTCTTCCCCATCTGATGCGGGGAGCGAGCGAGGAAAAGTGTGAAGCACCTTGCGAGAAACCGATGCGAACAGATGGGGATGCGTGGCAAGTGAGTGCGACGACTTTGAACCAACTCGAAACTCGGCGCGGTATTGGGCACCTTGGAGCTCCAAATCATCAATCGCGGCCCGCCTAGTATAGCTCTTTAGAAGAAGCGAAGAGAGAGTCGATCTCGCGTACCTGACATTAATCCGGTTGTCGATCGAGAGAGACATTGGGCTGATTGGGTCCGTCCTGCTTGGTAGGGAGGTGCTGTGAACCATGCCTTCCCACTTACACAAGATGCAGCACCTCTTCGTCGCTTCCTCATCCGTACCTCTTCCTCGTCCAATCCCCCTCAACCACAAAAACCAGGATGATAGACCCTCATTCCCATGCGGTTACGAGAGAAATTAGTCGGTGGAAAGAGAAGGTAGCATGAGAATGGTGATCACAATTCCAGAAGTAACAGATGAAGCCGCGAATTGCATCGACATTTCTCGCCATCGATTCTTCGCTCTCCTCGCAGCCCCTTGTGGTTGTATGATCGCCAGTCAAGCTTGCCCCAAAAGCAGCTGATTGATATATTGCAGGCCCCGCCGCCCTCCGCCGCCGCCCGCTGGCCATAGTAGCCCGATAATTCGATAGGGACATGCATCTAATAATACTTGATGAATCGATGAGAGACGAAAGAAAGCGAGGTAAATAGATCCATTAGGGCTTTCTGAAGCCGACGGGCCTCGATTGATGTCAATGTGGCCCTCGTTACTTTGTTTGCCATGCCCGATATTTTCAGGCAATCAATCTCGCCCACGCGTGCGAGTGGCGGAACCCAAGGGTTGCCATATGAACTGCCCCATCTACTCCCCGTTTTCGCCATGCTTGCGACTATTCTCCAAGAGAGGGCGCGCCAGACTGAAGGCCAAGGGCAATACCAAGGAGAATTGATATCAGGAAGAGCAACCCTCCCCTCTAGCCAAGATACGATACATACGGCAGATGAATCTGGCTGGAAGGGGATGCGATGGAGCAACTCATTCCCAGTATCGTCTTTTCATCTTCCCAGGTGTCGTCTGAGTCGTCGGGGTCTTGGTTGACGATTTGTTCCCACTTACCTTTCTGTGGTGGTGATTATTAGATCACATCCTCCACATCATCTCTCGACATACATGTACGAAGTACTTGGCACTGCCGTCGATCCACGACTCCCCACAAAATCCCGCCCTCCTGCGGCTTGAGGCGCCGTCGCTTCCCAAAATTTGGTGCCACATGCCACATGCCACACCATCTCCATCAATGCCTCGTGCCTTATGCCTCCGACTTTACCGCTGAACCTCAATTCATCCCGAGACCCAGATCCCCGCAGGTCCCCCCGCCGCCCGCTACCACCTGGGATACAATAGCCGTGATTGTCCTGATTAAACCCGTCTGCCGAGCCACCTTATTTCTTTCGCATGGCTTCTCCTCATCCTCCACTTCTCTCATCCCGGTCCTCTATTCTTTCATATATGCAATATGCGATAATGTTCTGTTTAGTTTATTGCTCGGCTCAAGAGCTACGTGGACACCTCCTTTCCGACCACGACCTCCCCGAGGTGTAGGTACTATGATATGTCTTCCCTTTCGGGTCTTGAGCAGCCTGTACGGATGAGGTCCACCTATTCCTTGTATACAATATCCAGAGATTTCGAGCATGTACCCATGAAGCGGAAATGTCGATTCGTGCAGGCAAATGCATCGGATTGCTACTTGCCTCCCTCATCCGGGACTTACATGCAACCGCGTGATAGCGGCACGCATTCATTCTTCTCCAAATATATGACTTCCTTCCAGAACTCGACCTGGCCTTCTTTCCTGAGCCCTTCCATCCCTCCCTCCCTCTCTCCTCCCATGTCTATGTTCTCTACACTTGGCCCAGCTCGGAAAATGGCAAAACTTGCTCAGAGTGGCCCCCTCCCCTCCCCCGGTCCCCATCCTTAGATAGACGCTCTAGCTCAAGGAGAGAAGCTTGCAGCCCACCTAAAACCTCTCCTCCACATCTTTTCTAGGGCCGTGACACCCGGACCAGCCTTTTGCGCGGATTCTCTGTTGGACGGTATTCTCCAATATCTCCATCTAGCTACGCTCTATGCTTGCCGCCTCCGCCGTGCCCGTGACATTTCTATCGGAAGCTGCGTGCCGGGAATTGGAACCGTCTCCTCTGTCTCTTTGTCTCTCTTGACGTTCCCGTGCGGATATCTTGATCTAAATCAATTCTCCAACGAGAAGCGGAGCCGCTGAGCAAAGAGATCCAGGTTCTTGATCCTTTCCACATCCAGAGTCGATGTCTGCACATTGAGAAGTCAGAGTCGTAGATATTCTTACCCGTTTCCCTTCTGGGATATCTCGAGACCTTTTATCTTTCCCTCCTTTGGCGACGTGTCAGAGATACACCGTTTGCATCTTCTCTTTTCATCCTACGCGTATCCCCGCGTCGTCCGACTTCGGTGAATAGAAAACATGGCTGCCGCGGCGCTGGGCTTGGGCGCTCTGGCGCTTCTGGCTGGACAAGTTGTCGCCCATGGAGGATTGAACAATTATACCGTTGGTGAGACGTGGTATCGCGGGTAAGCCTCTTGACTTGTTTTCTTCTAGTTCTATTCATCCATCCTGCTTTCGGCTCTCATCTTGCCCTTTTTTATTTGCATGGTACCTGGTAGACGCCCCCTCCCCCGTGTCTTCTTCTTCTGAGTAGTGCTCTCGAGTAAACTTGAGGAGAGCAGGGGAAGAATAAGAAGCAAAAAAGAGCTTGAAAGACCCTCTACTAAAACAAAAGAAAACGCAAAACAGGTACGACCCCAACGCGCCCGCAGAAGAGCAGCTCGGCCAAGACTGGATGGTCCAGCGCTCCTGGACCACCATCGACCCCGTCTTCGACTACGACTCCGAGTTCCTCTCCTGCAACAACCCCGGCGCCTCGGCCTCGGCCTACATCGACATCGCGGCCGGCGACAACATCACCGCCATCTACTGGTACTGGCTGCACCCCACGGGGCCCATGGCCGTGTGGCTCGCCGAGTGCGGAGAGTCGTGCGAGGACGTCGACACCAAGGAGCTCGAGTGGTTCAAGGTACGTGACACCCTTTTTTAAGAGACGGAAGAGAAGACATGATAGATCCCCCGAAAAACCTACGACTAACAAACGCGCCGCCGGGGTGCCACACAAAAAAATAGATCTGGCACGCCGGCCTCGTTGACGACGGCGCCCTCGGCCTCGCCGAAAGCACCTGGTACCAAAAGGCCTTCCAGAACTGGCAAGGCCTCGCCGCCTACTGGCCCATCACCATCCCCCGCCGCCTCCGCCCGGGTCTGTACATGGTGCGCCACGAAATCATCTCCATCCACGTCGCCGACAAGCCCCAGTGGTACCCCGAGTGCGCTCACCTCAACGTCACCGGCGACGGCGACCTCCTGCCCGACGCGGACTGGCCCCGCTACCGCTTCCCCGGCGCCTACTCGACCGACGACCCCGCCGTCTTCATCGACATTTACTCTGAAGAGTGGGAGAATCCCGTCAACGCTGCCACGTATCAACCCCCTTGGGGCCGGTATGGACGGGTGAAGACGAAGCTGAGGAGGTAGAAGAGGTAGAAGAGGCCGAGGAGGCCGAGGAGGCAGCGGGGGACGAAGACTAGTTCGGGAAAGGGAGTGGTGGCTGGCATGTATATATGTATACCTCGTATCTACAACAACTCACAAGGACAGCGCATTGAATGGGTTAAAATTATATCAGTTGAATATTTGTATTAGGAAGCTTCTATTCCTTCTTCATGTTCTTTCTCTACCAAGTCTCAAGAGTGACTTGTAACCCACATTAAGCTGTTTAATCGCTTGTCTTGATATGTAAATTGAGGTGTTGGAAGCAAAGACCCAGTCCCGAACCCCATATACCCCCGTCCAAACCCTACAGAGTCGCCAATATCAAATAGTTCAGAAAAGAAAGATGTAAATAGACAGAAAACAAGATCTCCCATAAAGCAAGGTCCCAAAGAGAACGCCCCTTCATAATTCCCGAGATCATCTCTAACCGCTCAAAGTCCTTCAATCGCCTTGAGAAGCACTTGGAGACCGAGCTTGCCAACGTCCCCGTCCGCCCTCAGCACACTCGCCACGTCGCTCAGCACGCCGAGTGGCACGTAGCATCCCTGCTTGGCCTTGTCGAGGCTCTCCTTGAGCCGGCTGGTGTGCTCCCACTCCTTGGCCGCCACTTCGGCACTCTCAACTACGCGCGCGGGAATTCCGCACATGGACGCGCAGTGCATACCGAAGCTGCCCTCTGCCACGCCGTCCTCAAGTCGGTACAGGAACGTGACGCGGCGCTCCTCATCGTCCACGTGGATCTGCATGCGGCGCGGCCGGATCTCGGGTGGTTCTCGAACTCGGTCGCGATCGAGTGGTAATGGGTCGCGAAGAAACCCACACAGCCAATGTGGCTCGCCACGTGGTGGAGCACCGCTTGCGCCACCGCGACGCCGTCGTACGAAGACGTGCCACGGCCGAGCTCATCGAGGATGACGAGCGAGCGGGGCGTTGCCTCGGAAAGGATCTTCTTGGTCTCGGACAGCTCCACGAAAAAGGTGGACTGCGCGGCAAAGATGTTGTCGTTGGCGCCGAGACGCGACATGATACGGTCGACAGGCGTGAGTCGCGCGCTGACGGCAGGCACGTAGCAGCCTACCTGCGCCATGATGACGGCGACGCATGACATGCGAAGCACGGTCGACTTACCCGCAGCGTTGGCACCAGTGAGCAGGCTGATGTTGGCCGTGTCGCCTCCGAGCTTGACATCGTTGGGAATAAAGTCCGTCACCGTCGTCTGCATGCACGGGTGGCGTAGCTCGCTAAAGTCTACCACACTCCTCTCGCTCTCGATGAACTCGGGCCTGCAGCTGGGCTGGCCGATAAACGACGAGGCCCTTGCCAATCCCACTAAGCAATCGAGTTGCGCCATGATGCGCACGGCCAGCAGCCACGTGTTGTAGTCTTCATCGAATCGAACAAAGAACCGCGATGCCGTCTCCTTGATGATCTGCGAGTGCGTCTCCTCCGCCTCCTGGAGCTCGCGCACGAGGTCGGTCAGTTGGGTGAAATAGTAACGCTTGACGCTCGAGGTTGCAGACATTTGCCGCCAGTTGGAAGGCACCTTTTGAGCCTTGGGCGCCTCGATCTGGTAAATCTCCTTGCCGATATCGGTAAACTTGAGGTTCCTGCACTTGAGTTCCTTCTTCTTCTCCTCCAGCAGTGAAGAGAGGCGCTCCTTGATCTCGGTGATGGTCTCTTGGCTCGCGTCATAGTCCTCATCGATCCCGCGCTCCGGGACTAGCATCTTGTCTGACTTGGCAAGGTCCCGCTTGAACGCCGAGTTCCAGTACGTCAGGGGTTCCGTAAGGTTCGGCATGCCCTTGATGAGTCGGTCCACGATGCCGCTGCCTCCGCGGAACGCGCCGAGGAGGCTCATGGTGTATTCAATCTGCTCAAAGCCTTCCAACACCTTGACGAAATCGTCGGCGCGGATGGAGCCGGCGTGGACTCGCGAGATCAGCCGCTCCAGGTCTGGCATCTTAGTCATCTGAGAGGTGAACTGATCTCGGAGGCTACGGTCGGCGTTGAGCATATCAACGGCGTCCAGGCGCTCGTTAATTTTCTCAATGTTGCACAAAGGGTGGCATACCCACTGCCGGAAGAGTCGCTTGCCAAAGGGGGTAACGCAGCGGTTGAGGAGACCGAACAAGGTGCCCTCGGTACCGCCGTCGACGTTGTTGGCAAAGATTTCGAGATTAATCAAGGTTTGGCCGTCCAAGATGAGGGTGCCGTTGCGCTGAATGGGGTTGTAGTGTTCAAAGTTGCCCTGGGAGATGAGGCTCTGTTCGAGCTTCAAGCTTCGCAGATACTGGATTAGTGCGCCCAGAGCAGACAAGGCGAGGTCCTTGTCCTTGAGCTCTTGCAGCGTCTCGGGCCAAAGGCCATCCGCCTGGCTAAAATACTCGCCGCTGTCAAGTTCCTTGCGTGTGCTATACGCGTCCCAGAACTCGGTGCCAGCCTTGCGGTAGTTCCAGATGGTGGTAGGAGATGTGCTATTTTTGAGGATGCGCAAGGCTCGGGTGGAAATATGTGACTTTTCAATAATGAGCTCGCGAGGACTAGTCTGGGCAACAAAGGTCTCAAACTTAGTCATATCGATGTCGTCCTCGAATTCAGAAATGGCGAAACGACCCGTCGCGGCATCAACGAAGGCAATGCCAAAAGCCGGCTTGCCATCAATGATGGACTCCTTGATGGCGGCGCAATAGGTAGCCATGTCATCCTGAAGCATACTGCCATCAACAAGCGTTCCACCGGTCAGAACGCAGGCAAGCTCACGCCTGATAATCTTGTCGGGCTTGGCAGCCTTGGCACCGCCGTCGCGCTCTCGCATCTCCTTGCCAAGAGCGGACTCCATCTGATCGACTCTGGCTACTTTGTAGCCCTTGGCCACGAACTGGTTCACCCACATGTCCAGTGAGCTTTCCGGCACACCGACCATGCGCATGTTGACGCGGTCGGTGAGCTTGAGGTCGAATAGCTGATGGCCAATGGTGGCATCATTCTCGTAAAGCTCATAGAACTTGCCCTTCTTGAAGAAGACAATGGTGTCCCAGAGCTTGTGCTTGATCTCCCAGTACTGCTTTTCAAAGGCGGAAAACTTGTGCCATGCAGCAGGAGGCACAAAGACCGAGGTGGGGTCATATTCGGGGTGGCCGGGGGTTCTTGTTGAGATCCATCATCTTCGCGAGCCAGGGATATCGCTGCTCCGGATCCTTCTCGTGAGGTCGCACCTTGCCGCTGCCGCCACCAGCTCTTGCGGCGGGTGCTTTGACGGGACACTCCTGAACCTCAGCATTCTCGTCAAACGCCCACTTCATACAAGTGGCTGCGGTAGACGGTACGTCGTCCATATCAATGTCAAGGTCGATATCGGGGCTGGCGTCTGTCTGCACACGCTTCGAGACTGGGGAGGCCCTCTTTCGTGGCTGGGGCTTGGACTCGGCTCGCTTTCGCTTCTTGGGCCTGGACTGAGCATCAGAGTCATCCGATACTATGAAATCGTCGATGTCGTCTGCTTATTGTGTTTTGCGATTGTTAGTCACCCCAAAGACATGGCGTACAAGATTGGTTTTATGAAGATACTACTCACCCTCATCCGCCGCATCAGCGACATTACCCGCCTCCTCCTTGTAGTCATCCTCGTCATCCGAGACGGTGGGGAGGGCTCTAGTCTTCCGCCGCGCACGGGAGGTCTGGATGCGCTGAAACGGGTCTTCATCTTCGTCATCAGACTCAGCGTAATTCACCGCCTTCCGAGCCTATCGCATCGAAGCACAACACATACACGGTTAGTCCATCGTGCCATTGGCGCCCGAGGCTATCTAAAAGTGGTTTCGGCGAGGGAGAACATACCTTTCGCGTGGGGCTACTACTCATAAACGGCCGGGAAGTGGTCCTAGTCTGCTTCACCAAAGCCTCAGCGGGAGTGACGGGCGACGGCAGGCCGGCGGCAGCGGCGGCGGCAGATCGTACCTTGGTTACGGTGGAGTCCATGTTCTCCTGCGAGCTGGGAGGGTCAACGGCATCGCTGCTGGGGATGGGGGTGATGTTGGCAGCCCTCGGCCTGGGCAGGGAGTTGGACTTGGTTGTCTCCTTCAGACACGGGACCGGAGAGGATTGGGGAGCGGCGGCTTTGGACTTGGAAGCAGCAGAAGAAGGCGTGGCTGAGGGCCTTCCGAAGAAGCTCATTATGCTCTGCTGCTTGCCAGCCGAAGCCGAACCGGTGGGCCCCTTCTTCTGAGAGGAGGGCGTCTTGGCCGGCGTGCGAGCCGGCACCGATGGGGCCTTGCTCGACATGGCGGAGGATTTCGTCGTTGTTTGGCGATGAGGAGAGATAACCAGAGCCTCTGCTTGTGGGGATGGTGATAGGCGATGTCTCTATGGAAAACAAATAAAAGGCAAAGGAAAAATTTAATCTATGTGAATGGTGGTGTTGGTGGAAGCGGGAAAGGAAGGAAATAAAATGTAGACGGCTCCAGTGGTTTAGAAAAGGAGGGAGAGACACCGGTGGGATGGAACGCGGTACCGAAGACGATGGACACGCTGAGACGCGCCTGCGCGATCCCCTGTTAAAGTGGCTCTAGCAGAAAGTGGAAAGTGGGCAGGTACAAGGGGGCCCAGCTTCCACAGGGATTCACGTCGCGAAAAAGAGCCCCACCAAGCAATGAACAATATGCATCTAAAGGTATATCCATGACTCGATGCTATCAACGCCGAACGCTGCCAATAAGTCGTCTCTCTGTTTCATCGTGAGCATCTATTAATCCCATCGCTTTGTCTTCGTAGCGTCTTTTATTTTAAAATATCTAGGTCCCCAGCCAAATATGAATCCTCGTACAAGCGCCATTCGATAAACCCAGTCAAGGATCGCTGGTCTTGACCACTTTGCTCATGATCATGTAGTCGGGGTTGAACACCTTCCCAAACCGAAGCGTTCTCGGAACGGGTGATATCTCGTCCTTGGCGAACCCAATCTTCTCGTAGAACTCGATGCCCTTCTCGTTGGCGAGGAAGCATGTAAGCATCACCTTTTCCACGCTGGGTACGTTTTTCCCAATCGTCTCGAGGAAGCCCATCAAGAGTCTGCCAAGCCCCGTTCTACACGGCCGTCAAATAACAACGAAAAAGGGTTAGAAACCTCTGGCAACTTTCTCTTTTTCCTTCTTCTCCTACACAATGGGCCATCTTTTTTCTATCGCTTTCACCGTCTTCCATTGACTTTCTTCAAGTCGAGAGGGCAGTTACTTACCCCTGCAACTCGGGTACGAGGTGAATCTCGTAACAGTAAATCACGGGCTGCCCCTCTTCAAAGCAAGGCATTAATGACGTGAAGCCCTTCACAAGACCGCCCTCATCCCTGACCAGGATATAGCGCAAGTCGTGGTCTTTCATCTCCCGCCTCTTGCTCCCCGGTGCCAACCTCTTGACGAGGTCTTGTAGTGCTCCCCGGAGGTCTGCTCCACAAGCCCAAGGCACGCCTGGAGCTCGTCCCGCGACAGCTCCTGTGATTGGCAAAATGCAAGGGTGTATCGGACTCCTGTTTTGGGGTGCAGCCATTGGTTGGCCCATGCTGGGCTTGAGGAGGAGAAATGTCAGGGAAGTTGCTTTTTCCACTCATTTTTTTCCCCCTTTCAACCCCGACTTCCCTGGGCTGGTCTGGTACAGACGAGGAAATACGCAACGGCTATCAAAGCTCCACGGAAAGATCTGCAAGAGGGGTGAAGGGGGACTCACTTCGGTGCTAGATACTCTGCGATAAACTCCTCGTCGCTCTTGCCATTCGCCACCTTGATCGGACTTTCAACACGTCTCCGGAGCATGGTTTCTCTCGCAGGGCTCGAATCCCTGGCATGCTACGCTTCACTCATGAGAAGGAAGAATTAGGGAAGGGGGTCAGGTCTTGAGCTGGAGAGTGGGTGGCTTGAGCTTGGCGTCTAGGAGGTCCAAAGAAAACGCGTCCATTGATATTCTTATAAGCGAGAAGGTCGCATGGGAGCCGACCCCCACGCAAGCCACGCTCCCGAGCTCCAGGCCATTTCTCGTTCTGGGGGCGGACTTCAACAGCAAGAAGCTGCTTATGTAACAAATCAAACAAATCAATCCGAGAATCTGCTGCAACTGCCAAGCTTGAAGCTTCCAGGAAAAGGCGAAAGAGCTTTCGGGTTCCCATTCAAGAAGGGAAGCTGGATTTCCTCCAATGGCCTCACATCTTGTCCAATTATACCCCCGGTAGCATAGGGCTTCTCATCCGCCGCTCCAATGCGTCTCTCCCTTCTTCACGCCCGCTCCTTCTCCAGCCGGCCAGGCAGTTCGCCTCGGCTCAAGGCGGCTCTCTCTCTCGACCATGTAAGATTTACCTTGAATCTAGCGCTCTACAAATCCCTGAGTAGAAGATCAACCACCGCAGGCTTGTTTTTTTTTTCCATTTTTGTTTCAATACTTACGTAGCTGCTTCCTCTTGACCAGTTCATACAACGTGGGCGCGTCTTGTCGCTCTATCGCACCATCCTGCGCGACACCCGGCGCATCCCAGACAAACGGACCCGAAAGGAGACGGTGGGCTTCGCGAGGGCGGAATTCGAGAGTCACAAGAATGTGACGGACCTAGTAAGTATCTCTAAGACCTCCCGCGGCCATCTTGACCTCAACTCTCCTCCCCTTTTCCTACGTTCGCCGCATGATCAAATGGAAAAGCTACGACGCTCGTAATATCACCCGGAGGCTTACAAGATGGCATAGCAACACATCCGATACCTTTGTCCACAGGGAAGACAGAGTGGGAGAAGATGGAAAGGTATATAGACGGGTTATAGAGTAAAAATAAATCCAGTAAATCCAGTAAAGACACCCTTCGTACGTGCAAGAGAGCGACAAAAGGCGGAGATGTCCGTGTGATGAAGGAGCCAAGGTCGCCGTCCAGCGTCAGAATCGTTCAGAGGTTGTATATTGTTACAAGAAGGAATGTCTATCCACGAGAAATCGTCGTCCGCACAACCAGGGCAACACGTCCTTTCTAATGCGCAGCTCGTTTCCTACAAAGTTCTAGCTCTCGTGTGCCAACCCCCTCAAGGCCGGGATATAGTACATGTCGTCCAAAATTTCAGTTCGTTCCCAGTTCGCCCATTCCCAACCCTCTCTAATCCTGTCGCTGCTTGTGTCGAGGGTTCGCCTTGCAAATCACGTAGAGGTAACCGTTGTGTCGCTTGCCACCCTTCCTTCGGACAATCTGTAGAAAAGGTATGTCAGCCACCAAAAACCAGACGAGATGGAAAGACGCCCCCTAGAAGAAAGGGAAACTACTAGAAAAACAAGAGGCGGAGGGATGAAATTTCCCCTTTTCCTCATAGCAACGCCAAAAACTCACCTTGCAGTGCTCGCATCGCTTCTTCACCGAGCTATGCACCTTCATACCCCGAACCTGCTCAAACACGCCCACGCTCACGGCCGCCGGCTTCACCGACGCCAAGGAGGCGGGCATCATCGCCCTCTGCGCGAGACCAAACGCCTGGCGAGGCGCCGCCATCGTCGCCCTCGTCGCCGCGAGGGAGAGGGCGCCAAACGTTCGGATGAGGGAGGAGCTCATGTTTTTGGGGGTTTTTCGTCGCAAAGCAAAAGGTTCGAGAGGCGTACAGGAGGTCGCGGTGATTTCGTTTTGGGCGTTTTCTCGAATCTTCCGGATGGAGAGGGAGGGCGGAAATGGTGGAAAATCGCGCGGCCGTACGGGTGCCTCGTGGGTGAATGTCGTCTTCGTGAGGTGAGGGAGCAGGATGTTGTCTGTTCGCTGGGAGCTATTTTTTCCGTCTCTCATCACTAGCTCGGAGTGGATCGGCAGATTCCGTCGCCAACCTGTTGAGTGTATTTATACCGTGCTTGATTTATTTCGCACGTTGCATAGTATGTGGAGTGTGGCACGCACAAGGAGCTGGAAGTCTGCAAGGCATTCAATCTCTATCTAACCATTGTTTTATGCGATGAATCCAATTGTTCTAACTCCAACCTCGTACGTACCCAACCTCTGAAGCTTGAAAGAAAAATGGGAACAAAGAAGTGTGCGGGGGCGAATGATAGAATGGCAAGAAGAAGCCAATAAGAAGAATAAAAATTCGCCATCAAAAGTCTAATCCTGTAGAAACGAAAACACCGTCCGTCATCAAACATTAAAGGAACAAAATATAGGAAAAAGAAAAGAGCAGGCGCTCGCGATATAGCCATATATATATATATGGTAGAGAGCAAAGAAAAACAAGAAACCTTCGAATTTACGAACGAAGGAACGTCTTGAACACGGTTGACTCGGTGCAATCCTCGCGAGGGTAGCCAATGGCGTCCAGAAACTTCTCCAACTCTGGCACCTCGTCGTCGGGACACAGGATGCCCGTCAGGATCTTGGCAACATCGCCACCGTAGTTGCGGTATTGAAAGAGGCTGATGTTAAACTTGGGCTTGAGGGTGGTGACGAACTTCTCGAGCGCGCCGGGCCGTTCGGGGAAGTTAAACATGTATAGCCTCTCGTTGGCCACGTTGGAGCGGCCTCCGACGAGGTAACGGATATGGGTCTTGGCAAGCTCGTCGCCCGAGAGGTCGGCGACACTCATACCACCAGCCCGGATGCGATCTAGGAGCCTTTCGAGCTCATGAGCCCGCTGGTACGCCGGGCTTGTGAGCGAGATACCGATCAGGATGTTGGCGAGCTCTGGGGTGGCATAACGGTAGGAGAATTCAGTGATGGCGTGAGGCATGACGGCACTGATGAGCTCGGAAAACGAGCCAGGCCTTTCGGGGATGCTAACGGCAAGGAGGGCTTCCTTGCCCTCACCAAGGGCGGCGCGCTCGGCAACAAACCTGAGCCGGTCAAAGTTCATGTTTGCGCCTGAGGTGACAGCAATAAGATTCCTGTTGCGGTTCTCGGATGGGTTCTGGGCAACGTATTTCTTCAGGCCGGCAATAGAGAGGGCGCCGGCGGGCTCGAGGCCAGATCGGGTATCGTCGTACATGTCCTTGATAGCGGCGCAAATCTCGTCGGTAGTAACCTCGATAACCTCATCCACGACGTCCTTGCAGATGCGGAACGTCTCCTCGCCGACGGTCTTGACGGCAGCGCCGTCGGCAAATAGGCCAACATCCTTGAGGATGACACGCTCGCCCTTCTTCAGCGACTCGACCATGGCGTTAGCATCGTACGCCTCGACACCAATGATCTTGACGTGAGGTGCCATCCGCTTAACGTAAGCGCCGATACCGGCGATCAGACCGCCGCCGCCAACGCAGCAGAAGATGGCCTCGAGCTTCTGCATGTTGGTCTGACCGAACAATTCCATGCCAATGGTTCCCTGGCCAGCAATGACATACGGGTCATCAAAGGGGGATGTTGATCAAGCCATCCTGCTTCTCCCTCCTAGAGCACTCTTCTTTGGCAGCGTCAAAGTCGGCACCATATAAAACAACGTGGCCACCGAGGCGAGTGACGTTGAGGTGCTTAATGCTGGGGGTGGCTTCGGGCATGACGATGGTGGCGGGGATCTTGAGCTTGCGAGCTGAATACGCCACACCCTGGGCGTGGTTGCCGGCAGAGCAAGCAATAACTCCTTTCCAGCTCACAGCCGGGTCGAGGTGGGCCATCTTGTTGTAGGCGCCTCGCAGCTTAAAGCTGAAGACGGGCTGCTGGTCCTCACGCTTGAGCAAGACATTGCACTCGAGCCGGTTGCTGAGATTAACGGCGGGCGTCAAGGCGGTAACTTTGCAAGCTTCGTAGACTCGGGATGTCGCATTGGCGATAAGGCGGAGGTACTATGCAACCGAACCGGACCAGTGCTCATGTCAGTCTCGAAGCCTCATACTCTATTTTTTTTGCTTTTTGCTGCCTTATCGCTTGGGAAATCTTGGCGGGATCGGAGCTCTCCCAATCCCTAGGAAGTGAAGATGTAGGGCTTCCCACACCACAAGAAGGAAAAGTAGGGGAGGAAAACTGAAAGGGAAAAAAGAATTGTAGGACTAGAGGCTGCTTACGTCTGGGGTGCCATCGTCGAGCAAAAGTCGTCTGGCACAACGCTCTTGATGCGTAGTCTCTTCTCCGAAGATGGCGTCTTGGGGTTGGCACTATATTCGGTCAGGGACATGCCGCCGGTGTTCTTATTCGGCGGTGTGACGGGGCGGTGGTCGCCATTGACGCCGTTGGTATGGCCATTTCCATTTGTGACGGGAATAACCACAGGGGTCTCTTGAAAGTCTGTCATATCTGCTACAATGGTGTTATAAAGATGAAGGAGTGTAGAGAAGGAGACAGCAAGGTCAATGAGCCCCAATACAGAGCAGGGCGAAAAGGAGAGAGAGAGAAGATCTTGTTTGAGGAAGGTGCGCGCGGGTAAAGGCCGTTTTGTTGGCGGTCAAGATTTCCTCGGGATGAATTGGAAGGAACTTGACATTGAAGGCTTTTGGGGTCTGTGTTGGAGGGGCAATTTTGGAATTTTTCGGGGCCTGTGAGTAATCGTCGAGGTACTCGGCACGCTAAAATTAGTGTATGCGGTACCACACGTTGGTGGAAGTGCGGCGGGGCAGATCGGAGGGCGACTTCGGGATGTCTGGGCCCTGGCAGTAGTGACGTGACAGCAGGAGCTTCCAGGGGCCTAGAAGCAACCAAAATGAATCCCCGGACGATCGGGGGAGGGCTTGGGGAGATCTGTGGCCAACCACACGACAGCGAATTGAATATCTAACAGACCCGATTTGTTTTCTTTTCTTTTTTTCGGGTTGGAGAGAGGAGAGAGAAAGAGGGTACCTTGATCAAGGAGTCATCCAAGTGACTCTTCCCGACGTTCTAGCCCAAGTTTTTGCACTAGTCCATGGATCATTGATATCTAACACTATATGCTAGGCTAGAAAAAGGAAAAAGTGAAGTAACTCGACAGCACATCTTTGTGCTGTTGGATAACATTGAGCCAATGCACTTCTCTTAGAGTTACAGGAGAAAAAGGGAATCACCAAAAAAAAAAAAAAAGCTGAACCATGTGCCCATAATCCACCATTTTGTGGGCCGAGATCGCTTCGCTGATGCTCAACGCCAACCAAGGCAAGTACAGTCGCAGCTCTGGAGCTACAGTGGGGACATCCATCAATTCAGGGTGTCGGGTACATGTTCTGATTGAATTCAATGTTGGCAGTGGATATCGGGAAAGTGCACGGAAGTACGGCGTACATGCAGGACACGGGCCAGAGCTTAGGCTTTCAACGGGTGGACATGAGCAAATGGCTGCGTCGGTGCCACAGGTTAGACAAGCCTTGGGGACGCCTCATCCATCATTGGTCAGAACTGGCCAAGAGCTGTCTCTCGCCGTCATCCATGCCATTTCAAGCCTCGCAACCTCAGCCCACTTCTCAAAACTCGACCATCGCGACGACCATCGCCGACCAACGACCATCGGAATAATCGAGCAGTCGCAAAACGAAAATAGAAAGAAGCTTAAGGAGGGCGACAACCCCCACGCGGACCCGTCTTCACAATGTCTAACAGAAATTTCGACCAAACCTCGCTTCCCTCGTCTTTCGACTCGGACGAGTACGTGCTACCCTTCCATTTCCTTCTCCTCCCACCAACCGAGCCCAGACAGCACCATCGAGGCTAGCCTTTGGTTTCCGCGCGAGGCGAGAGCTAACCAAGCAACCCGCAGAAAATTCATCAACGAAAATGCCTGGCAAAAGGTTTCCCGCAAGCTCAAAGAGGAGCCCCTAATCCCCTCGGTAAGCCTACGCCACAATCTCTCTTCCGTCCCTCGCTTTCCTTTGGTGCACATACCTCCAGAACGACAAGTAAGCAATAGCGAGCTAACGACAAATGTCACCCCGTTTCCTTCTTCTCCGTTTTAGGCACCGCCGTCACCTGCTGGGCTCTTTGGAGCTCCTTCCGTGCCGTCCGCCGCGGCGACTCCGCCGGCGCCCAGCGCATGTTCCGCGCCCGTGTCCTCGCCCAGGGCTTCACCGTCATGGCCATCTGCGCCGGTGGCATGTACTACAACAAGGACCGCGCCAAGTCCAAGGAACTCCGAAAGGTCCAGGAGGCGCAGGATAGCGAGGAGAAGCGCGCCCGCTGGATCCGCGAGCTCGAGGCCCGAGACGAAGAAGACAAGGCCATGCGCCGGAGGCTGGAGAAGAAGCGCGACGCCCTTGCTGCCGCCGCTGCTGCTGCCGACCCTGCCGCTGACCAGACAGCGGTTAATGCGCCGAAGAAGGAGGGTGGTGTGCTTTCCGCACTGGGTGGCATGTGGGGTGGAAATAAGAAGCAGGGAGAAGAGGCCGCCGCCGCGCCAGTGCCTGATCCCGAGGTGGTTGAGACGGATAGCACGGGCAAGAGGAAGAAGAACCCCAGGAGCTCTCTCGACTCTCTGGGTGAGATAATCGGCAGCAAGAAGTCTCCTGAAGACATCAACCCCGAGAAGAAGTAAAAGGGAGAGAGCGGGACTTGATGGTGAGGTCGGAAGAGGAAGAATAGGATGAGGCATTGGCAGAAGCAAGTTGCGCCAATGCTTCATGCTTCTGCACACTAGCTGGGAAGAAAACCACGCCGCTTAAAAGTTTTGGATAACTTGTACATCAACACATCTATATGGTTCACCTTGTATGATCTTAATCAGGAAATGTAGAACGGATCAACCTAACGACATCTAACAAAGTCTGTCCACTGTTCACTAGGAAATGGAGTCACTAGAAGCCTCGCCATGACAGGCCAGGAAGCTTATCACCAGAGACAAATGAGACAAGTGGTAGGAGGGAGAGGAAAGGATAAAGTATCAGCCGATGCCCCGAGCGTGAGCCTCGAAACGATTTGCATTAAAACGAGTGTCTAGAAGCGCCCCAGGATGCCCAAGTTCGCAAGAGCCCGCCGTAAAGAGTCTTAGTCTAGCTAGTGTACACGGGGAAGCACGAAACGGCCTAGGGCCCATCGGCCAGTCTCGCCCCCATTGTCTATCGCAACGCGCCTTGCGCCAAAGACCGCCCTGGAAAAAACGCCTCAGAGAGAAACCAAGAAAAGTATGGTTACAATAAAAAACCCTCTTCTTTCCGTCAGAATGAGTGATGGAGGGAAAGAGATGAGGGGAAAAAAGATTGTGAAAACCAAAAGAGTGGAAGATTTGGATAAAACTTTTGTGTTCATATGTGCTTCCGAGATGGGCCGGAGACGGGAGAGGTTGATCAACCCCTTCGTTCCCGGGATGGGAAAGCCAAAAAAGAAAACAAGAAAAAGCTCTGTGAACTCGGGGTGTAAGAAGAGACCTAGTTGGTGAAAGAGGAATTCTTCATCTTCGGTGCATATTTTTGAAACTTTTCGTTCGCGTGCGTTTCTCTTCTCTCTCCTGATTTTAAATGCACGCATTCCGCCTTGTCCGAGTTGTTTTGACGCCGAAGAAAGAGCAATGAAACCCAATATGACGGAGGCAAAGCTCACCAACCGTCCACGTCGCTGAACTCGTCTAATGCAGTACGGACGCCGTGTCACGATATATGGCAGAAAAGAGGTTGGCCGATCCCCTTCGTTAAGCCGGGGAAGGGCTTTTGAAGAGAAAGACCGACAGCACCCCCTTCCTCCCCCTTGACTTTTTCTTTTGTTCGAAAGCACATGGTAGCTTTTGCGGCTGCGTGTAGCAGCAGCAGCAGTTGTAAACGAGTGTGGTGAAGGTCGAGGGCAACGGCGTGGTCGGGCGGACAACTTAGTTGTCCCAGCCGTCCCTGCCGCCGTGGTGGTGGTTGTCCCAGTGCTTGTGCTGGACGTTGCCGTGGTGCTTGTGATCGTGGTGGTGGTGGTGGCCGTGGTGCTTGTGGTGGCCGTGATGCTTCTGCTTGATATGGTGGTGGTAGTGGTGGTGGTGGTGGTGAGCCTTGTGCTCGTGGAGACCGAGGTGCTTGTGGTGGTGGTGGCCCTTGTGCTTGTGCTCGTGGTCGTGGTCCGAGTGCACCTTGTGGTGGTGCTCACCCTTGTGGTGGTGCTCGCCCTTGTGGTGGTGGCCGTGGTGGTGGCTACCTTCCTTGTCGTCGTCGAAGTCGCCGCGCTTCTCGTTCTGGGAGAAAGCGACCTCGGTCTCGTCCTCCTGGCGCTTCTCGTGGGGCGCAAAAGTGCTAATGTTGTTGTCGTCGTACTCGTTCTGGCGCCTCTGCACCTGGGGCTCGGTCTCGAGCACGGCCTCGGAGGCGAGCTCGACGGCGCTCTTGGGCTCCCGGGCGGCCAGGCCGTTGCCGGACTCAGCAGGTGCGGCGAAGGCGAGGGTGCCAAAGGCCCAGACGAGGGTGAAAGCGGTGGTGGAGACCTTCATTTTTGTGTTGGAAAGAGGGTTTCTTTTGGTGTAAGGAACGAGGAAATGCTTTCAAACGGTTCAAAGAGGGAAAGGAAATGTGTCTTTGGAGTGTCTGTTGGATGCTTGAGATGGAGCGAGCTTTTCGTTTTCCCAAGCCGGGAGCTTTCTGGCTCTTAAATAGATTTACCTGGGGACCAAGCTTGACGAGCGGACGCGTATGCGAGCTAGTTCGAGCCCTCAAAGATGCAAGAGAAGCATCCTTGAGGTCCGTCGTCGCCATCTCTCCGCATATCGCGATGCGACCTCAAGTGGTGTCATGATGTGATTTGTGCGGAGTTGTTGCCGCAAGAGAAGCTTCCACTACTTCGGTTAGCTGCTGCGGATGACTTGCTCCCCTCATCTTCCATACAACGAAGCTTCTTTTTCAAGACAGACTTTGCGTTCTCGGGACATCAAAAGGGCGAGCTATCCATGTCAAGTGGACCTTGAGCTGCCCCGACGGCCCAGCGGAAAGGCTGGAGATTCGTCGATCATCAACTGCAAGTGCTGGGTGACGCCTCGTCTCAGATCCCACAAGAACTCGGCGTATTAGCCCGCGGGGCTGATGGTCTCATCCCTCGACGGGCCTCCAAATCCTGGCCAGGGCATACTTTGCTTCTCCGCAGGGGACAGGCGGGGATGAACCCCTCCCCTCGGCGGTGCCCACGAGGCTGGAGATGAGTCGATAGGGCGATGATGCGGTGTGAATATCGGTGCGTTGCTACATCTGCAGCGGGCTTTGTTTATTGTTGTTCATCTTAAGAACCTAGAATCGGAAAACTTAGTTTGGTCATTCCTCTGAAAGTCTCGGATTGGAATCTCGGAGCGGATTGCGTGCTGTTTTCTCACAAGATGTACGTACGCATGTCGTCTTGTTTAGACTTCAGTGCGGCGCGCTCTCCCCGCCCGAAGCGGATCCCGCGCGGTTCGGCTCCGCGACAGAACGGTAGGCGAGTAGCGCCGACCCGTGAACTCAGTGAAGAGCCACCGTTATCGGGGGTTACCGTAAATCAAGCCTAGGCAGCCGAGCTCCCATAAAATGGGAAACTAAACTGGGCAAAAAGGGGTTTATATAGTTGGAGCCGGGGCAAGCCGGGCGCCCTCAATCACTTGTTAAACTGCTGCACTGAGAAAATCACAGGCACGAAGACTATCACTTTTGATCCTCCATGACACCTATGAATTTCACGGTGAGAGATGATCCCAAGTTATCCTGGATTCTGAAATGTCCCAAGATTTACATATGTAGGAGGGAAGTATCCACCATTGTCCCGGAATGATGCAAAATTTCACTTGAAGAAAATATTCGGCCAAGCGGATATACCGAACGCTACTTCATGCCAGATACCCCGCCTTACTGGAGAGAAGAGCACCGTAAAGCAAGAAGAATAAAACCAAAGTTTGCTTGAGAAAGTCCTCGGTGGATTGCCGGCCCCGGTCAAAGAGTGGATATAATAGATGATAATTTGCAATGACCACAAGACGGTTGTCGTTCCAAGTACACTCTCCTTCTTTAACCTGTAAACTAAAAATAAAAAACCAACCTGGTCCGAAAATACATCGGCTTATGGTGCCCAGCCTGCAAGTGAGAGGTCGTTATACATTCGAAGGTGGAAGAAGGTTGTGGAACTCGGGGGTCCCACCCGCCACGAGGTGCTCAATCTTGCTAATACGGTTCAACCAGGAACGAGGCCCTGTTGCGGGCTTGTTCAAAATGACGAGCCGTAGCTTCATGACCTGTGCTAGCTCTATGCTCGGCAACATCAAGATACTTCCAACATCGGTCATAAACAAGAACACTCCTGTAGCGGTAGCCTATGAGGTCATGTGTATCGCTTAGCAGTGAGCACAATAGCCAGGGGAGAATGAGCAATGGCCAATGAACACAGACTCAACGAAAAGCTCAAGGTTCACAAGAATAAATGTAGATTGCCCCCTTCAAACCTAGAATATAGGAGTGCAAGGCAAGGCAGATGTGGTGCCATCTAGTCCGCATCAAGGAAAAAGAAAACACGAATACACACATCCTAGCAGTCCCTGATCGAACAAGAAAGAAGCAGCAACAGCAAGAGGCACTTGAACACCGAACCAAGGGAGCCTCAAGACCCCGCGGAAAAATGAAGAAAAATGTTGGCCTCACATCAAAGGCGGAGTGTGGCTCGCACTCCAAGTTACCTCCATGTTCAAGACCATCACCCACACAGTTTCGGTGAGCACGCTATGGACCAAAGATAACCATAAGAAAAAGAAAAATATGACACGCAGAAACTCCCCATGTTCTCCTTTTCTCCAGCATGCGTGGGTTTCCTCTTTTAGATAAGAAAAGAAAAGGTGCTCTCCGGACCAAGGAAACAAAAAAGAAAAAAGGACAGGGCAAAGGGCGAGGATAAACGGAAGAGCGCGGTCGGGATCAATTCCTAGATCATAAGAAGCGCAACAGGGAAGAAGAGGTAGAAAAAGAAGAATAAAAGAAGAAGAAGAAGAAGCAGAAGCAGGAGGAAATATACGAGGGACGTGAGGGACGTGGGAGCCAAGACAGCTCGTGCCACGATGCAAATGCATGACATGGGTTGGGTATAACGCTCGTTGGATCGACTACGCCTCGGTATCAGCTGAAGTGGCGGACCGGATGAGTTTCTGGTACTGTTCCGCTTCTTCGTCCTCGGCCGACTGGATTCGGTGCTTGTCGGAAGACGACTTCCCGGCCTTTGCCGTCCAAAGAACCCCGGGTTTCGAGGGGGCCACCAAGGCTTGAGCATCTTTGTCTTTCGATGCTGCGCCGTTCACCTCGCCATTGGTTTCCTCGACACCATCGCCCTTATCTCCGGCTCGCTCGCGCATCAGCCGCCACGCCAAGAGGACGTACTCTGCTCGCGTCATGCTCGACATGATGTCATCCATGTACCGAATCACCTCCTCCCGCGGAGCTACCACTCTAGCGAGGTTCTCAAGGTAGCGGCCAGAGGGGGCGAACAGCTTCACCGTGATAGGTTCGTAGTAATCAACCTCGCGATCACCCCCGTACTCGCACCGGCTGCTCTTACGCACGAGAAGGAACGAGGCGACGGCCTGCTGGGGCCCGCGGGACTCAATGACACTAAACTTGGGAAACAGATAGCGATCTCCGTTGCCGCCGGCAAACTCTACCACGATGGCGGAGATATCAGGCTTGGGAGGAGGCGGGGTCCCTTGGACCGCAGGGATTGCGGCGTAGGCTGAGCGGGACCTGTTGGGGCCGGAGAGGCCTGGGATCCGCTCGCAGCATTGTTGGGTTGGGGAGCAGGAGAGTTGGGGGCGGGCTTTTGCTCCTTCTTCATCTTATCGAGCAGGAGCTTCTTGTGAAGATTGTCCAATACCGACTTGAGGGTCGTGGTGTCGCTGTACTCCGGTTTTCCGTTCGCAATGCGTTGGATGGCCGCCTTGAGTTTCGCGTCGTCTAGTGCCGCCTGCACCAGCATGACGATCAACGTGTCACTGCCTGCCGGCGGCCGCAGGTTGCTTGAACGCTGCTGGGGGTTGGAGGTAAGGACAATATGTAATATAGTTTTCACCTCCTCAGCAAAGTACTTGATGGATCTGCCGTCGACGAACAGCTTGTCCGCCGCTGGCGCAGGCTGCGTCTCCTTTTGTTGTGTTCCTCGTGGATCTGGTCAATGACGCGTTGAAATTGCGCAAGCTCAGTCTTACTGGCCTTCCCTTCAGCCACCCGCTTCATGAGTTCCCTGAGGTTGTCATCCGAAGTTGCGCGCTCCGCAAGGGTGGCGATGACGGCATTGTTCGCTTGTCCGGGCGGTGGGGCTGGAGTCGCAGGCTTAGGCGCGGGTGCAGGTGCTGCCGCGGCAGGCGCAGGGGACTGTTGGTAATGTGTGGACGATGTCGGTTGCGGGCCGATCGCCGGTGAGTTGGATGCCCTAGGAAGAGGAGCTAGGGGTGCAGATCGGACGTCGGCAGGGGCGATTGAGGGCCCCGCGGGGTAGCCAAGACAGACATGGAGGGTGACTGGGCTGGTGTCGGTTTCGGAGACGCGGAGACGAGCGGTGCCCCCGACACGGAGGGTGCTGCGGCATGGCTCCCCACGCGAGGTGTTGATTTGGAGGATTGCTGTGGCGCGGGGGACCCTCTCGCCGGAGTGGCGGCAACGGGGGTTGAAGGCGTTCCAGACACCTTCGAGGGTAGAGGTTTCTGAGGCATTGACCCACCAGGCGGGCCATATTGCAGGACCGGTCGCCCGGCAGGTGTCGTGGCTGGGGAGGCTTGGGATCCTTGACGGCATAGAGCGTGGCGTCGAAGATGTGAGGCTCAATGGTAATGGTGACTTGCCCGAGCTTCATCATGCTATCCTTGGGCGGGTTTTTGGGATCCTCGTTGACAACGCCCTTCCGCTTCGTCGGTTTCGTCCAGTATTTCTCAAAGATAAATTCTGTTATCCACTTGTGTCGCGATCGACGTATCGACTCGGCCATTACACCACTACAGCGCGAAAAAGAAAAGGGTCAGCGTAACTAAGAAACATCATCAATCCGAAGATAAGGCGGGTGCAGCGAGGCACGGAACCGAGCGGGTTATCTTTTTAGCGCGCACCTCTCTTGGATTGTTTGATAATCCTTGGCCGGCAAATTGTCTGGCTGGGGTTCCTCTACGGTTGGCAGCGGTTTCCCGGGCTGGATTGACTTGGGCAATTGCGGCGGTTCTTCGCTGGGAGCTGGCTCGGCGGCAGGAGTCGCCTCCTTCTCCTTTTCCTTTTCCTTCTCGGGCGGCGTCACGGTCCGCTTCTTGGATGCCTGCTCATTCCTCGCTGCTGCTCTCGCCGGGAGCTTCCGCTTTCGTTCCATTGCTATGTGGAGGACACCGCGCCTGGCGGGCAGGAGGGGGAAAAGGTTCGGCTGGACAGTTTGAGAGCTACACAACCGGAATTTGTACAGTCACGAGGGCGTTTGGGAGGACGGGGATGCGAATTATTGCGAGAGAGAGCAGGGCGGAATCATCATGGGCTTCGAAAAGGCAATTGGATTGCGAAAATGTTGACGAAGATCCGAGGCTCAGGTTGATGATGTCGAAAGAGGTTCACAGCGAGAATCGTGGGTATGTTGGTGTAGAGGAAGAAGCTACCAAGATTGGAGTTGTTGGAACCGCAACTGCATCAGCTCGCGGGACAAGATGCGCCCTGAAGTGGTCTTGAATGCTGGTCGTTGACAAGTGGAGGCTTGTATTAGATAAGCAGCAAGTCCCGCATCGGAGCTGGCACCGCCGCATTTGTGGCGCCTGGCTGGGCGTTTGACATGCACATCAACCTCAGGTTGCAACGCTGCAGGTGGCTTGCATGTCCGCCTTGACAAACGACGCTGACTAATTTTCTGGGAGCTTGCTGAGGAAGCTCCCTCTCCCATCGCTTCACCTCATTCCCCACAATTCGAAGTCGGCCTGACAGACGGCTCCCGTCACATGCCAAGGCGGCAGCGGTGTCTATGACGAGAGAGCTAACTAAACTCCCATCCAAAAACCCGCAAATACAAAACAGACATAGAGACATTTGGGGTCAAAATGGGGGTAAACGGCGCGTCTGTTGGGCAGGCCATCGGCATCGTCCTTGGGGTACCACTTGGGCTCTACATCTTGTTTCTTATTCTTGGTGCTATCCCTTTCTTTCAAAGACAGTCAGTGCTGGGTCACCACTTCCGTCCCCTTTGTGCGACTAGACGCAAGCTTACTGAGACAACTTCAGCTTCGTTTATGCCCATATTTTCAACACGCTCCTTTGGGATAATGTCGACAAGCCGGAAAAATGGGGCTTTGCTCGTAAGTAAAGCTGCCCAATGTAAGCGTTTTGCAAGTCCATTAATTTGTGCCGCCCAAGGATAGGTAACCAAGCAACTCCTTTCTATCTGAAGACGCCCGATGGACAGAAGATATACGCCTGGCACGTCTTGCCCCTTCCCTTGTACGCGAAGCATGAAGAAAAGATTGCAACGTCAAGAAAGCCCGGCGTCTGTGAAGATGTTACCAAGACAGAGTCATTCCGGCTCTTGAAAGATGACCCCAACGCGAAGGTCATCATTTACTGTAAGCGAAGACTTTCCCATGTAGACAAGAGATCTCGAGGCTGACCCGTCATGATAGTCCACGGTGTGAGTTTTTGAACAGAGCTGAGTGCTGTTAAATAGCAGGTCTCGGGCGGCTAACGAACAGGTCTACAGAATGCTGGCCATGTTGCCAATGGCTGGCGAACCGACACATATCATTCACTCACGGACACGACTTCGTACCATGTTCTCGCGATCGACTACCGAGGCTTCGGTCGCTCTTCCGGAACCCCCACAGAGCAGGGGTTGATCCTCGACGCTCTAACCGCCGTCGAATGGGTCATGAAGACCGCGCAGGTTCCTTCCAACAAGATTGTGCTGTTCGGGCAAAGCCTCGGTACAGCGGTAGCTAGTGGCGTTGCCGAGTTGTGCGCTGATGACGGCCATGAGCTTGCCGGCATAGTTCTCGTCGCCGGGTTCAGTACCTTGCCTACCATGCTCACTGGCTACCGTATTTCGGGCTACGTCCCAGTCTTTGGTCCGTTCCAATGGGTACCACTGACATCGAGGGGACTCCAGGCCCTCATTTATGAAAAATGGCCTTCCGGGGATCGCCTCTCTCGCGTGGTCAAGCAGACAAAATCGCGTCTAAGGCTCACCCTTGTTCACGCCAAGAATGACAAGGATATCCCATGCCATGAGAGTGATAAGCTCTTCAAGGCTTCTGTGAGTGCCTCTGTTCCTGGCGGCCTCGATGCAGCAGAGTTCGAGGCGTTGCAGAAGAAAGCGACGCGGACATGGGAAAAAGGAGTGTTCCAAAGAGTCTGGAGAGCAGAGCCCAACATCGTGATTCGGCAAGAGCAGTTTTCTCATGGAGGTAAGTGATCCAAAGCCGTTTGCAACTTTCACAAATCCCTGGCGGCACTATCACCTCTCTCACCAGCCGCAGGTTTCTTGGGGGTTGTTCACTCACACTCTCGTACAGGCCACAACCGCATCATGAAATTTGCCCCCGCATTACTGGCCATCATGCGGTCCTTCGAGGAGGACTGATTCACACCAGGCACCGGTTTCATTGAGCTTTGCAAGTGGACAAACCGTCGTTTTTGGACCGCGGCTCTCTACCCTGCGCCAACAAAACCAAGGTTGCACGCCCAGCACTAGGCCACGGCGGGGGCGCCATCTTCGGATCGTCAAGGAATAGTTGATGAGTGCGAGTCAATTGATCCTTGCTTCGTGCAAATCGATATTGAACGCAGAAGGGTTACACTGCTGCATCGAGTTCGGCCGGTAATTGGGGCGCCTGCATTACCAGAACCGGAGAGCCGCAGCTCGAAATCTGAGACTTCAAATCCATGGCCGAAGGAGTAGGTGGATGGGCAACCGAACCATGCGCCCGCGCTTCTTGGTCACCGAGCGGTGATTGTTTCGGCCAAGAACGCCAATAGATTAAAACATACCCACAATTTGGCGGAGATGAAGGTGAACAAAACTACGCAAAAGGGCCCGTAATATATCTTGCCAAAATTACGATGATAGTGACTGTGATTGCGTACTACTACGTTCTTTACGAATATTTGCGAATATCGATTGAAATTGATTTTGGAAGGCACGCCTGCCTCTCGTCCAAAACGCTCCTTCCTCCCCACATTCACTCGAGTGGAAAGAGCCCCGCGAAACGGGTGATTTGTGCCCCGCATTTCCCGCCAGGAACCCAAGCTTTCCGAAAAGGGCCACAAACCCGCACAACCTTGGCTTGGAAGTAGGCGAGCACTCACATCTGCAAGCTTAAGCTCCCACTCATCCTCTCCCCTCCGAAACAAAACCCGCCCCTTGTACTACCTATCCTGGGCAACGGGCTTGTTCATCAATTCCCATCCCAATTGTCCCTGCCAGCCCACCGCGTCAACACGTGTTCTCGACGTCAGAGCAAGGTTCCGAGCAACCTCGACCCAGCGACCCCGCCTCGCCCAATTTTGCGAACGAGTGATTCTGGGGCCGTGACCAACCCCTCATTTTCTTGCAGAGCTCGAAACCCCGAAAGCAACGATGCCTCCCGCCAAGAAGAACGACGCTCCTCCCCCAGGCGCAGATGACCCTGCTACTTCCAAGGGCAAGGAGCCCGAGGTCGTGAACGACTCCGAAGGCGAGGAGGACGACGAAGACGAAGACCAGGCTGGCGCGGAAGGCGCGGCTGCCGAGGGCGGCTCCGGTGGCAAGAAGAAGAAGAAGAGGAAGTCTAAGAAGAAGAAGGGCGCTGCCGCTGCCGCTGAGGAAGAGTCTGACAAGGTCGGGCCCGAGGCGGCGCAGAAGCTCGTCTCTAGCCTGACGGATGCTCAGCTTAAGCAGCTTTGGACCATGAACCCGGCGCTCAGCAATGAGATCACGGCGGGCGGCACCAGAGAACCGACCCGAGAGAACGTGATGGAGATGCTTCAGAAGATGAGCATACACGACCTCCTGACCGGTATGCCTTCTGGTCGTGGTAGCGTCAAGGACATGGGTGCCTTCAAGTTCTGGAAAACTCAGCCTGTGCCCAAGTTCGGCGAGAAGATCAAGGAGGAAGGCCCCATGCAGGTTAAGACGGTTGACGACGTCTCTCAGGAGCCCGACCCGTTGCCTGAGGGCTTTGAATGGGTAACCATGGACCTCACCTCGGAGGAGGAGTTGAAGGAGGTTCACGACCTTCTTGAGGGTCACTACGTCGAGGACGACACTGCCATGCTCCGATTCAATTACTCTATACCTATCCTTCGATGGTGCGTCTCCGGTTTCCCCCTCCCCTTCAGAGTGTCGCTTTACTCTGGGGCTGTCGCCCTACCTTCCTCCTCTACACCCTCATTTTCATATCTAACGCGATTATATTTCTAGGGCAATGTTGGCGCCAGGCTGGAAACCCGACTACCATATCGGCGTGCGTGCCTCGCAGTCTAGGAGACTCGTGGCTTTCATCTCCGCCATCCCCGTCCGCTGTCGCGTGCGCAAAGCTGTCATCACTGTGTCTGAGGTTAACTTCCTCGTGGTGCACAAGAAGCTGCGAAACAAGCGACTCGCCCCCGTCATGATCAAGGAGGTTACGCGCCGAAGCAACCTGAACGACATCTGGCAAGGCCTGTACACCGGTGGCAATATCCTCCCCACCCCTGTGAGCACCTGTCGGTACTACCACCGCGCTCTCGACTGGCAGAAACTCTACGAAATCGGCTTCAGTCCTCTGCCTCCTGGCAGCCGGCCCTCGCAGCAGATCAAGCGCTACCAGCTACCCGAGAAGGGGAAGCTCAAGGGTGTCCGTGAGGTTACGGCCGAGGATACCGACGCGGTTCTATCTCTCCTCACGCGTTACCTCGAGCGGTTCGACATGGCCCCGAATTTACCAAGGAAGAGTTTATCCACTGGTTCGTCTCTGCCACTGAGGACCGGGAGGAGAGGGTGGTCTGGGGCTACGTCGTCGAGGTGAGTTTGGACTCTTGTGTCCATGAACCATTTCCCCATGTGTCAAAACTGCTCCTCTAACCAATATCTAGGACGATAATGGTAAAATTACCGATTTCTTCTCGTTTTATGGCCTTGATTCATCCGTCATCAACCACAACAAGCACAAGTTGCTTCGCGCCGCGTACCACTTCTACTACGCCACCGAAACCGGCCTTACGGAGAAGCCGGATAAGTCGGCACTGAAGAAGCGACTCAATGACTTGATGCACGAGGCCCTGGTCTTTGGCAAGAAGCTCAAGTTTGACGTGTACAATGCCCTCACGCTCATGGAGAACTCCCTCGTTCTCAACGACCACCATTTCGGTGGCGGTGACGGAAACCTGCACTACTACCTCTTCAACTATAAGACGGCACCGATCAGCGGTGGAGTTACCAAGGCTAACCGCCCTGACGAGGACAAGCTTAGCGGCATCGGCGTTGTCATGCTCTAGAGAAATTCACCCAATTCAGGCTGGGTCACCTATTGAATAGTAGGAGGCACAGTCATCGTGAGCACCATGTCTAAAACGCTTAGCCTAGCTTTCAGAGTTGAGAGGGGTCTGCGGTCTGCAATGGAATAAGAGGATGCCTGGAGCTGTCTACTTTTGGGCTTTTATAGAACAAACATGTAGACAAAAGGAGTGTTGCTCTTGATGTATGCTGGGAAGTGTGGTTGGCTGTCAAAGCGAGCACAACCACGCATGCATGGGGCCCAAGGCCCAAGGGGAAGAGAGATAGGAAAGCCATAGTATACCAGAAACTAGGGGTGGGGAACAGCGACCAAGTAACAAATAACGGGGGCATCAAAAATTCAAATACAAAGAGAATATAAATTTTATCTATTTATCCTTGACTCTCCTTGATCTTTTCACCAGCCGCGATGTGCGTCTCTAGCAATTCGTTGAGCCACGGGCCCCTATCCATGATGGGAGCATGGCCCATACCCGGAATGATCTGGGATGTCCCTGGCTTGACCATGTCGATGAGCTTCTTGCCGAGGGAGACGTCAATCATCTCGTCGGCATCGCCGTGGATGATGAGGATGCGCTCGCGGCCGAGCTTGTCGGCGATCTCAGAGAGCTGGGCCTGGGACTTGTTGTGGACCATGGCGGCGCCGAGCTGGAGGGCGAAGCCCCAGGCGGTGTAGGTGGCGGGGTTGAGCTTCTTGACGAGCTCCTGGGCCTGGAAGCGCTGGAAATTAGAGTCGAAGGGCAGGTAGGCGCCGTCCTGGGCCGGGGTGGAGGCGCGGCCGCAGCGCGGGGTGCTGGAGGGGCAAGGGAGGGCGATGTCGTCGGGGCCGCGGAGCCAGTCCTCGGGAAAGAGCTTGCGGGCGGTGGAGAGGATCTGGTCGTCGAGGTTTTGGGGAGGAGCATGTTGCCGCCGTCGCGGAGGGTGTCGTACCAGCTTTTTGTGTTTTCGACGACGGCGGCGGTGCAGATGAGGGAGAGGCTGGCGAGGCGGGTGGGGATGCGGTAGGCGATTTCTTGGGAGATCATGCCGCCCATGGAGATGCCGACGAGGTGGAAGGCGCGGGAGGCGGTGGCGGCGGCGGCGGCGGGTGAAGAGTCAGCGGGGGCGGAGGAAGTGGAGGAGGAGGAGTAGGGCGGGTCAAGCCAGCCGACGTGCTCGAGGACCTCGATGGCGTCGAGGGCCATGGCGGAGGTGGTGTAGCGGCGCCAGGGCTTGTCGGACTGGCCTATGCCGCGGTTGTCGAGGATGAGGACGGTGTACTTGTCGCCTAGGTCGTGGCCAAAGTACTTTGTTTGTTGCTGCCAGGAGGTTTTTACGCCGGCGAGGCCCATGATGAACTATGACGAGGGTTTGAGCAAAGTGTTAGTTTGACATCATGAGCTTGCTAAATTGTATTCTGTTTGAGAGTGACTCCTGGTCCCGGCTGGGGCAAAGGGGAGGGGAGGGCACCGGGATTACGGTGAGTGGGGTTAGGAACGGACCGCGACTCTGATGGGGCCGTCTCCGTGAAGCTCGTAGGCGATCTGGAGAGGGCCACCGCGGCCCTTGGCTACGGGGCAGCGCCCCTTGGAGTGTGGCTCAAGCTTCCATATCGTGCCGGCAAAGGCCGGGTGTTTGAGCGTTTCGGCGACTTGGGGAAGGGATTCGGACTGTGGTCCGGAAGGGGAGACCCTGCGTTAATACGTCATGCGATGCTTTGGGAGTGAGAGACGTGGGGTGGGGGAGGAGGAGGAGGGGAGGGCTGGCTCTCTCAGCTGTGGCCGTTAGCTCGAGGGGCACAAAAAAACGTACGCTGGTGAGGTCATGGCTTTGCAGAGTGGTTGATCTGTATCAACCAAAGGCGTGGGTGAAGCGAGAGAGAGAGAGAGGAAGCGGAAGCGGGAAAAGGCGAGGGTTGTTGCGGTTGAGGAAACAAAGACCCTGGTCACGATCACCGACTTTCTTGTTCGTATTGGAACGAGGCGAATCCTTTCTCTTTGCGAGGTCAACAAGGGTCAATTGATTTTGGTCCCGTTGAACGAGGCCACAGCAACCAAGGTAAACTGCGGTGGCTTTTCGCTTGTAAATAAAAGATTTACAATTTAAAAGGGTATATGGTCAATTTGAGCTGGCAAGTTGGATGAATACGCGGCTAGGTTGCGTAATTGTACGGGTAGAAAGGCCGTCTAGCAAATGCGCTGTCGGAAGGGGAAACGGAGTGGCGCGGCACCTTTTAAAAAGTCCCTCGTGCTTCTCTTCTCCTCACGTTATCTTTGAAAGTCGAATTCCTAGGCAATGTCTATCCCGACCTTTGTGTTCGGAGGGGAGGCGATCGGAACGGGTTTGGGGTTGCTTGCTCAATCGCTCTCCTTTCTCGAGTTCCAGAGCGGCTTGGCGGGGACTCCTTGCACTCCGCAGTACCGTACCCCGACATGCCCTTTTTCTGGGGTACTCGTCAACGTCACACCTCGGCTGGCTCGGCCGGCTTGTATGGGGGACACTATGTCTGCATGTGTGTGTATGTGTGTGTGTGTGTGTGTGTAAACGTGTGGTGGGGTTGGAATGCAAAGATTTCCTTTTGGATAGCTCGCTCGTTTGCTTTTTAGTGTCGTGTAGAGTGTAGAGCTTAGTTCTAGAATGGAAATAGATGCGACGAGCCTGAGAAGCCAAGACGTGACCGAGAGGAGATGCCAATCCAGGAGGGACTCTTAGATCCTGCCATTCGATTGTCCGTTGCGCATCACATTTACAAGTGGATTTCGACCATTTCTGCTGCCTTGCGCATTCGATCAATCTCCAAAAAGCTCCGAGTGGCATTTTGCTATTCTACTGCCCCTCAGTTCTTTTTCGGGAAAGGCGTAATATTAGCCTCGCAGGCCACCATGATTCAAAACCTTTGTATGTTCGAGGTCTCGGTATTCCTGTTTGCCGGAAACCTTGGACACCTCACAAGACGAGGCGGAGAGGGGAGGGAGCTAACAGTTGAGGAAGGTACAAGGGTATGGAAGCTCGAGGAAGCTGTGCATGCTTTGTCATCCAAAATATCGGGCTCACCGCCCGGCAAAACTCTTTCCCCCTTTGCAGCTGGAAGCCATCTGCTACTGCTGCGCTAAACACCAACCAGCCTTTCAACATAATAATTCCAGAGATTTGGATCATCCAGCATCGCCATTCCATTTGCCCCTCTTGATTCTTCAAACAAATATTGATTACGATCCAAGCTGGAAAATTTTCCTTGAAAAACACAAGATCACGGCATACTTTAGCACCTCATGACCTTGGAAAGGTGACAACGGCTGAGAACCACGGACAATGTGGCCATCATTGCCGTCCACCGACTCCTTTGCGAGGCCGCGCCTAGTGGCCGCCGCAGCGCTGTCCACCATCGCCGTCGCCTCCGCTAGCTACTATTATTTCTACAGCGATGCCTCGCGCTTCGGCCATGCCGGCACCGGCCTCCACCGAAGCAATGCGGTACGACGAGCCCGGCGCGGGTCCCGTCGCTCGACCCCTGCACCACGCGAATCGAGCCCAGCCCCGTCTACGGCGTCGACCGATGAGGCCGCGGCCGAACAAAACAACCAGCAAGAGGTGGAGGAGACCGTAGTCGACGACGACGGCCAGAATGGCGTGGATGAATGGTACAACGAAGCGCCCACGCAGCGGGCGGGCCACAACATCGTCACCCTGCTCTTCCGCGTCTCCGAGGACAATTCGCGGCGCAATGCGTGTGTGCATCGCGGCTGCCAATGTAACTCATGCAGCATGGCGCCCATCCGCGGAATCCGGTACCGGTGCGCCACCTGCGCCGACTTTGATCTCTGCGAGTCGTGCGAAGCGCAAGGTCTGCACAACAAAACCCACATCTTCTACAAAGTCAAGGTGCCCGCGCCCCCTCGATCCTCCGCCAGACGCAGCCCGTATGGTACACGGGCGACCCGGACTCGGTACACCGCATCCTCGGGCGGACGCTGATGGCCAAGCTGTCGCGAGAGACTGGGTTCGAGCGGCCCGAGCTCGAGGCCTACTGGGAGCAGTGGACGTACATGGCGAATACCGAGTGGAGGGACGACCCAGACGAGCTCAACCTGGCCATGGACCGCAAGACATTTGAGCGCTGCCTGATACCGTCGGGGGCCTCGCAGCATATGGCGCCGAACCTCATCCATGACCGCATGTTTGCCTTTTACGACACCAACAACGACGGCCTCATTGGCTTCACGGAATTCCTACACGGCGTGGCGTTCCGAAACAGACGCGACAAGCTGGAACGGGTCTTCCGCAGCTACGACATCGACAATGACGGATACATTGACCGCAAGGACTGCCTGCGCATGTTCCGCGCCTACTACGTCCTGTTCAAGGGCATGCACAAGGATGTTTTGGACGGCCTCGACGAGCAGGCCATGGCGAGCACCGAAGCCCAACAGCTCGTCGCGAGCCGCCAGCCCCTCAGCAGCCTGTTTGGAAGAGAACTCACTCGCATGCCCCCGCCGACTACAACCCGGATCGACTCAACGGCAAGGTATATCACGGAAACGGCGATGTCGGTCTCCCGCCTGGCAGGTCACACGCAGTTCGGGAAGGCAGGGGCGACACAGCGTCGAGACGCCAGATCCTCAACCGCATATTCATCAATGATGCGGAAACGGCGGAGAATACCCGGCGCATGACTGCCCCCGCCCAGTACGCCGAGGGTCTCTTCCATCCTTTGAGCAACATTTCCGCCGTCCAGGCGCTACTATCCTCGCTCGAGGAGGGAACCCTCACTACAGATCACCTCTTTACTAACTCGGACCTCGCATCTGCTACGCCGCCAGAGGGCGAGTCGCCTCCCAACGAGAGTCAGAACGACGGCCAGGATATGGACTCCCCGCAGAGGCATCCACTCCCGTGCACGGCGACGAGCTCAACCAGTCGACCCCCGACAGCCAGCAGGGCGAAAGCTCGACGAGCGCGAGCCGTGGAACGCGGACGGTGCAAATGCGGACAGTGCAAACGGGCAACGGCGAAGGAGAGATACACGTTAGCATCTCAGCGTCTCAGCAGTTGCAGGACCGCGTTGAGCAGGACAGATCCATCAGGCGGCGCGCCCGTCGGCGGCTCCACGAGCGCTGGAGGAGACGACACTTTTTCCTAGACGAAGAAGAGGGCGCGAGGGCGCCTCGCGGGTTCGACGACAGCGAGGACCTCTTGGCACGGGCTATTGAGGACCTCGAGAGGGCCAAGGAGAAGCAGCGGGCGTCGGAGGCGGAGGCGGAGGCAGAAGAGGAGGGCACGGTACCCTCGCCCACGTCGCGCTCGAGCTCCAAAGTGCGTTTTGCTGGCGAGGATGCCGAGGGGCGGAGACGCGCTCCAACGTCTCGGCATCGTCTCGGGTGGTGGCGGACAAGTGGGGGCCATGGAGATTCCGGAGGCGGAACGCGACGCGGGCAAAGAGATCCTGTACCAGGTGGCGCAGCAGGCGTTCAACGACCTCCTCGACGTCCTCTTCAAGGAGAAGGAGACCATGACGATACAGGTTGCGAAGTCGCGGGAGGACCGCGAGAAGTACGCGGAGCTCATTGCCGCGTATGAAGAGGAATCGGAAGAGGAGGAAGAGGAGGAGCCCGCGGATCTTGATATCCAGTCGATCAATGAGGATAGCTTGGTGGATGTCGAGACTGAAGAAGAGGTGGCTGCTGCTCCTGCGCCCGTGCCCGTGGCCGAGCCCGTGGCCGAGCCGAAGCCTGAGGCACAGGTGGAGGAGGTTGAACAGCCGGACACAGCGGCGGGAGAAGAGGTGGCGGCGGCGCCGGCGACAGATGTTCCGGATCGCGCGGATCAAACGGAAACGACAGACGCCGAGGCTCAGGTAGGCGAGGAGCAAGATGCGAACAATGAGTTCGTTGTCGACTCGCCAGTCGAGGCTACCGAGTCGGTTGAGGAGTGGCGTGATCCTACGTTGCCTCAGTTCCGGCCAAATAGCGAGTCTGATATTCTGACGGCCGCCACGCTCAAGACCCTGGATGAAGTCGAGGCCAAAGAAGGGGAAGACGATGCGCGGGAGAGTAAAGAAGCCCAGGCGCACGAAGGGGGTGCCAATGGCGATGACAACCACGCGCACGAGCACGACCACGATGGTGGCAACAACGATGAAGTAGAGGTCGCGGCGGCGGCGACGGCCTCTGCGCACGAGGAGTCCCCGGCGACGGTGGAGCGCCGGCAGCGAAAGGAGGTTGAGGACAAGTATAACGACACGTTTGCCAACGTCATGGCGCGGTGGAAGCAGTGCGCGGAGGCGGAGGAGGAGGCGCTGGCGCGGGAGGCTTTGGCAAGTTGTCGTTTGCCGAGTTTGAAAAGATTTACCGGCAACTCGATGGGGCCAACACGCTCGGGTACCTAGGGAGCTGGATCGAGTTTTGCATTCCCTAGGTGGACATGCCTCGGGCGAAAAGGATCGTGAGGCTCCGACTCGTGTAGTTTGTAAGAAAAAGAAGCCGACTTCAGATGAGCGGGATGGGGATGGGGGAGAGGATGCATGAGGGGAAAGTAAAGGGAAAGCGGTGACCTGTTTACAGGGGAATTCGGCAACTTGTATGATACGCTCCCTTTCTTGTTCTTTCCGTTCTTGTACCAGCGAATGAGTCCAGGATCGGCCAGTCACTTTAAATCTAATCCACATACCTTCTATCCTTGGCCTATTTGCAACGTGAGCGGCTGCTAGTCGGATGATGGTTCCGATCCGACCGATGAATGTGGAGATGTTTGCTCCGAGTTATATGTGCTATTCAAACGCCGACTCACTCCTTTCGCTGGGTTTTTAGGGAGTCTTTTTCTCTCCGTCTTGTATGATTTTGAGACCCAGCCATAATGGGGGCAATGTAACGTGGAGAATCATCGGACCGACGATCGCCGGACCGGCCGTGCTGCCTTGTACGGCGCCGAGGTTACATTGCGGCATCGCCCGACGAATGGCGTTGCAATTTGTGTGGGGGAACCGCAGCGAACTTAGTTTCTTTGGACCCAGCTTCCGGAGGTGCGGAGGAAACATGCCACCGATGCGGCGAGACGGGGAGCGGAGAGAAGAGAGTGCTTACCCTGCGATATGTAAAAATGAGGGAAAAAACAGGTTATGCAATTCACTTGACTTGTTTGGACAAAGGCATTTTGGGCTCGTTGATCTTGGTGCAAGCTGAAATAGACACTTGAGAGAAAGAATTCGTGCGAATGCAAACAGGGAGAAACAAAACATAGCACCCGTGTGTCTGTCCCCAAACTTGTCTACGGCGGTCATTTCCATCATGCAGTGCCGGTACAGTCGTTCACGCAAGTCATGGCACAGGTTCGCGTACGCTTCTTCTTCTTCATCTACAAAAGAACCCCCCTCCTTGACTCGCTTGCCCCTTAGGTCACGCACTTCTACTCTTTCTCCGCCTTTTGCTGTTCGCGTATGTATGTAGCAAAAGAGGGAGAAAAACAAAGGGGAGAGTAGGAGCGGCGGCAGCGTTGTTCAAACGTGGGGAGCCATGATGCTGGGCTGGGCAGGCCGGAGATTTTAACCATATTTGGTGCCCTCCTTTTCACGGGAGAAGATCTGGGGGGCGAGATGGCAGAGCGGCACGGGAGGTTTTTTCGAGGGGATTTTTGATAGGTAGATTTGTTGGGGGTGTTTGGCGCATCACTGTCTGGTCCCGTTTTCTGGCTTTGGGAATTGATACGGAAGGAGGAAAAGGAAGAGGCCGCCCTAACAGAGCCTCGAAGATAACACGAAAGTGATGATGGCCCGTCGGTGGTCTTCTCAGGATAGGCTGGTTATTGCATCACGACCTTGGCTCTCTCAAAGACAAGAGCAACGCTGGGGTGGTAGGCTACCTGGAGTACGTTGAAGGGAGTTCCGGTGTAGGTACATGGAAGATAATTAACCATATGGATGAATAGCATTGGTGCAGTTTTCTTTTGCCCGGGCCATTGTACAAGGAAGGGATAAAAAGGGCTGTCGATCATCGAACCCGTATATCAGGACGGGCTGGGACTATATCACCTCCCCGCCCTTCTTAACATGGATGATACCTCTAAGACTGCCTCTACAACCTCGCATAACAGCAGCGAGTCGCCTAGGACCAGGAAAAGAAAAGAAAAGCAAGTCTCCTTGCCATATCTTGATGTAGCTGCAATATCATCCGACATTAGGTGGCTATTTTTGGCAGCTGGCCCCCTTGGAGAAGCGTCACGCTATAGCTTCTTCATCCCTTCTTCCCCTCATTTGGTATACATTTCCCGTTTGCCGGGCACCAAGCTTCTTTTGAGCTTTGGAAGGGTCCCTTTTTCCTCTCTTTGGGCCAGCAACAGCTACTTTTCTTCACATAAGAGTAGGGAGCCGGGTAACTGGCGTGCTCCCCCTCCAACACGTATCTAGTATGTCAATAAGACAGACAGCACGGCACACCGCCGCCAGCCTTTTTGTATCTGGCAAAAATGCGCCGATCGGTTGAAGAAGATGATATATAAAGAGCAGGAACTCAACGCGCAGCTCGCTTCTCTACCATCCTACCTGACTCTGTCTAGCCCTGGTTAGCACTTCCCGTCTAGTAGCTATAGACCAACGTATCGTCACCAGAGTGCCTAGAGAATCCATGGCGCGCTATCTGGGTGCATTGCCCGCGCTCAGCGTGGCCCTATTGGCCGCGCGAGCCAGGGCAGAGTGCGTTTGTCTGGGAATCGATTACACCAACGCGGGGACCTACTTCATCGACGACACTTCTAGCGAGAGCTTTAGCTTCATTTCCGAGTTTCGAGGTAACTTTTGAATGAAAAAACGAAATAGGAGAACTCGCGCGACTGACACAGGCAGACTGCGAGGCCGCCGATGTTACGCCTATCCTGGTGGCTCCCGACGGAGCCGAACATGCCTGCTCCGTGCTTGAGAGTGGCAAGGATGCAGTTGGACAGAGATCAAGCTGGTATGTCTCCTTGGCTCCTCAAAGTCTCCCGGTCTGGCCCCTGCTCCATCCTCGAGAAACAAGGATAGTTAACTTTTCCGCTGTATAGCGATATTTCCTACGCCGACATGGGATCCGGCCAATGGACAATCGTCATCCAAGGCGAAGAATTCGCCGCCTCCTTCCAGCGCAGATTCGAGCTCAAGTCTACAGCCCCCGAGAAGACTGTCGTGACTGTACGCCATCTTTACTCCGTGAAAACTCCTACCATCTTGCTCTTCCCCGCGCATCCTGGCTAACTAACCTTTCCAAGGTGACCCCAACCGTCACCGTCGAAATCACTTCCACCGCAAGAGCGCATAGTAGGTCCCTACCATCTCCCTCCCCCTCTTCGTCTGGCGAGCCCAAACACAAAGGCCTAACAAAATTGCGTCTACAGCCAAGACGGACACAGCCTGGCAAACCCTCACCCGCAGCACGCAAGCCCGTCCCGTGACCGCCTCGTGCGCCCAGTCCACCCAAATGGTCACCCACTACGTCGCCGGCCCCACCGAAGTCGTCACTACCACTTTTGAGCGCTGGTCCGACCGGGACGCCTCTACCGAGTACGTCCGTACCACCGCCATACAGTCAGCCTACTGCCACTATCCCGAGGGCGCGCAGACCCCAGCGCCGGATGAGACGCCGGAGGTGCCGGAGCCGCAGCCCGGAGATGAGTGCGGTGGAGACTGCCAGCCGTGGTGGGATAATGGAAGTTGGCGGTGGAGAAGACGCAGAGGAGGAGGAGGAGGAGGAAGGGGAATGGTGGAGGCAACGGGGGTAATAATGGCGGTAATAACGGTGGTAACAACGGGGGTGGTAATGGGGTTGGTAACGGGGGTGGGAATGGCGGTGGTCGCGGAGGCGGCAACGGGAACGGCCCGGGGAATGGCGGCGGGAGCGGTGGCGGTGGCGGAAACCGGGGTGGTGGAAATGGAGGCGGGAACGGAGGCGGGAACGGAGGTGGAAATGGCCGTGGCCGTGGCCGTGGTCGTGGCCGTGGTCGTGGTCGCGGAAGAGGCCCCAGGAGTCCGAAGCCATCGGTAAGTTTGCACAGCATGATTCCAAGATTCGGAGAACCCAGGGAGGAGAACAAGGAAAAAAAGCACCCCAACACTAACACATCACGCATCATAGTACCTCGACACCTCGTCGACCGCGGCGTGGCTGCCGCCGCCGCCATCACGAGTACCGTCTACGCCAGCGAGACCGCCACCTCCACCAGCGTTATCACGAAAGCCCCGCGGACTGTCACGGAGACAGGTAAGTCGAGTGCCTCCTTTCACAGCTTCCTTTCGTTCGCGATTGCTATCCTCCCATCTTCGTATCTCGGCCTTGTCTTTCTCGCCCCTATCTTCCGAAGCTCACAAGAAGCCGCCTCTAGTTTACTCGACCAAGACCGAAAACGTCGAGATCGCTCCCGAGACGGTATGCGCCAACCAGGGCGTCGCCACTCTTACCACCGTCATCCGCGGCGAGCCCACGACAGAACTCCACGCCACCTACATTACCCACTGGGCCACCCCCGTCGTCACAGCCTTGTAAGTTTGCGTCCTAGTCTCTCACTTCCCCCATCCTTTCCCTCCTGAGTTTCTTCTCTCTGGCGCTCTGTTCACGCGCGGTGGACTGCCCATAGCGGTAACTTAGCTAACCGCGAGGCGCGCGTCGTTCTTGCTTCATTCTAGGAAACCGTATATGTCACCGCGACCGACCCGGCACAAGAGACGCAATGCTGGCGAGCTGGAGGGCGGTATGGAACCTAGCAGTCCAGGGATAACGGGGAATAGTAGCTCATTTCTTTGGCCTGTTCTTTGGGGAAACGTGTGGGAGGGTCTTTCTTTTACTTCGACCAAGTGTATGAGCAAATAAGATTGCCACCATGTACTTGCATTGCCAGTGCTTGCCCAATTACGCCCGTAGGATACTAGGCACTATGTATATCAAGAAGTTCCAATGTTATCGACATATTAAAAGTAGACCCAGTCATTACGCTTTCCGGAAACGGTCCACCTTCCTCTCCGCGCATGTTACACCGCTACCAAAGCTGACAAGATGGCGCCGAGGGAACGGATGAGTCCAAGTCTCCCGCGCCGGCCTGATCTCCCCGAAACGTCCCACGAAATTGGATGCTCGTTAGCACCCCGAGGTTCAAGTCCGCACAATCTCCTATACAAGGTTATCAGTAAGCGAAAGCAGACGAGGGTCCTAGTTATCGGGACGGGCAACGCATTCCCTTGCTCCCCCAGCCTAATGCACCTTTGGCAAGCATTCCCTAGTTCCCTCGGGACCCCCAAGTAGAAAACTCCACGTATCACAAACGGCTACGCCCAACAACTATGCTGTACACGTTGTTACATTGCTACACAAGCTATCGCCCCAAGACGCCATACTCGTCTCCAGCCGTACGTGACCACCGCCGATCACCGCTCCAATCTTCTGGATGAAGCAAGGTGCAGTTGGCTCCCCACCGGTACGCGGAGATGAAGCAGACTCGTCTACAAGGACTCCTCACCTCTTTCCCACCCCCTCCTTTGCTGATCAATCCCAAGTGTTCCGTCCCGGAAACCAGTCAGAACTTGCTTTTCTTCTACATTGACTTTTTTAAACACTGCGCCGGCCTCACCATCTTCTAAGCTTAAGCCTCGGCATGAACGGTTATATGCCATCTCCGCACATGCGAGCTTAGATTTTAGTCTTCGGCCGACGGGCAAAGATGGACGGAGGGGTACGTATAAACTTTGAGCTCACAAGAGCTGGCTGGAAGCTAACCTTGTGTCACCCTTCTTCTGGTATACGTCGACTAATTGGGCGGTCCCCAGATAGGGGAACGAGGGTGCCAATACACCCGGCAAGCCCCATCAAGGTTGAAGAGTAACTTGAAGCTAGAGCTATCTATGCGGAAGCGAGGAGGGGAGCCTATTGGACACCTACTTAAACCAGCTCGGAAGCCGAGCACCAGATTTCCGTATCGTATGGTACTAGCTTTATTTTGTTCGCGAGCTCTATTAAGTCTCCGGGATGCAAGCACCTACAGGATATTGACTCGAGGAGTGAGCCTTGATGGCAGAGGGCTTTGCAGCATGGATCCCATCACAGCAGCAATACTAAATATATGATAACCGGGCAGTTGGGGCAAGCCGAGTTGATGATTTCATCAGGATTACACTCTCGCTGCGAGCCTTCTTGTCCTAAACCTGGTAGCACAAAGAAGGAAAGAGGCCTGGCACGATATACCCAGCGGGCAAGACAGACACATACAAAAGTGAGCTCGCACCCGAAACCTGAGGCCAAGGATACAACCTGTAGAAGAGTACGGGGCGTGCTCGAAACATGGGCCCAACAGCTATGGAGTTGGCGCAAATAGCGCGGGATGAAGCTTACCTCACGTATCCACCCTTTTCCCCCTCCCCTTCTAAAATCCCAGAGACGCTCCGGGTCCAATTACCTGAAGGGGGATAAGCAGCGGAGGGGCTTGGCTTCAACAAGGGGGTGGGGGTGAGGTTGACGAGTGAGCAAAACATAGCCGTCTTCTCCGTAAGGCTTGGGGCGGGCTCTTAATGCAGAAGCCGTGCTAAACTGCCCTCGCGCAGTGGACCATCGCGCCGGCTAGTCTTCAGAGCTAGGACAAAGGGGAGCAGGGATAGCGTGGGGTGAAGGACGCTGGTGAGGGGGCCGCTAAGCATCATTGCGGAATTGTCGAGACGTACAAAGTAGGTATCTCTATTTCTTTTTGTTGGAGAAAGCAGTTTGAACGTTATTGTCGCCGCAGCCATGTCGCGCTTTCTCCAAAATATGTCCTGCTCTCGATGCGACGAGCCAAGGTCTTTTTTCCGCCTCCCATCCCATTAGCCCTGAGTAATCGCTCGGCTACGCGATCCCGTGCGTGTGTCGCGCTTAAGGGCAGAGTGACTTGCATCCTGCTGCGACCCAAGAGAAGGAAGAAGCAAAAGGCCAAGACGGCAGAGCCCGGGTCTGCGTCCTGGCCCCTATCAAAAAGGTCCTGCCTCCCTTCCATCAAGAGGCTGAAGCGCGTTTCGGCGATCCATGCCAGTTTCTCTCGTTTGTTTTGTCAGCCTCACCCTCGTACCCAAAGAAGAAGCCGAACAAAAAAAAATGCGCAGTTCCACCTTATGCTTCGGGGTACTTGGGAGGATTCGTTCGACATGTCGGATGGGGCGATTTTCGACGCATAATCTAGTGAACCCCATACCCAATGCCGGGCAAACGGAAGAAAGGATAATTGACCCACAATCTCAGCAACTCGCTCTTTCCTCTACCCCCACCCTTCCCACCACAGGCACACCACAGGCACACCGCAGGCAGGCGCACCACCTTGACCACAAGGAGACCACTCCACATCTCTCCACCCCAACTCCACGAGCACCCCACCATGACATTTCCGCGTAGGCCTATGAGCGGGTACGAAGGACACAACTTTGAAGCCGAAGGATCGATGAGAGGGGAGATGGGGCAACACAAGCTACTTCCCTCATTTTTCCTTGTAATGGGGAAATTCGGAGAAGGAGGAAGCCACAGCCAACCCTAAAGGCCTGCCGAAAAAGGAAAGAAAACTCTGTTTCTTTTCGTTTAGGTCAAGGGCTTCCCCCACTGACCCGAGAAGAATATGCGGCAGCACCTTCCCTCAATCTGCTGCGTGCGCTTCTCCAACTTCCTCGACCTTTCCCTCTTGTGTTAGCGTACATGTAGGTAGGAGAGGGCAAACCTTATGCTCACTTAAACATAGCTCGACATTCGACATGGGGGCCTGGGTGATACATTGAAGTCAATGGTGCTCGAAACCCCAAGCCCAAAGGAAAAAGACCATTGAATCCAGAACGCGTCCCCCTAAAGTGAATTAGCCTCGGCGAGACACGCGGAGCTTTTTGTGTAGTGCCACGCACCATACCACCGCCCGCAGTGCATGCCCGCCGCCGTCGCACCTCGTGGCCCAGAGACCCTCCAGTACAAACGAAAGACTTCACTGTCTTTTACCTACCCGGGCTGATTACTTTGATTTGTCCGCCCCTGGCCCGTGTCCCCATTAGTTTGCCGGCGCACGCAGACGGCGCACACCTTGCATATTAGCAGGTGCGATGCGTGAGCGCCGTGCGCCTACCGTAGATTTGCTTCTTGTTCTCGTTCACCAATAACAATAGAATACTAGGGAGTAAAAGGCACTTGTGCTACAAGAGAAGGAGAGATGCGATCGGCGTACATGGGAGGAGGGACGGGAAAAGAATTGACCGTCCTCGCCGGTTGCTGCTTTGGACAGAACATTGTAGTTGGGTCCGGACACACCAGCTTGCGCACAGCTGGAGACGCGCCCCTTGGGAAGCGCACCACTCTCCGAAACCCCAAAGCCAAGGACTGTTCATGGTGTAAGCCGCCACGCCATTGTAGCACCCTTTCTTTACACGGAGCTGCTACATCATCGTCGTTTGCCGGGCATTGTGGTGCACTCGGCTTCGTCGGAGAAGCTCATCTCATGATACTTGCCACGATCGTAGAGGCCCCCAGGCCCAGCCCAGCTGTCCCGTGGGTAGAGAGATCCCCATCCGGAAAAGTGGGCAGAGTGCAGTTGTACTCGCTACGTCGCAGGAAGAGTGATTAAACCCTCGTGGTGAGTTTGGAATATTTGTACGTTGCACGAAATCTTGTTCCCGCCCGTGCCGTCGTATCCGATGCCCGCCAGTCAACGCATTTCCCCTCCCCAGAAACCAGTTCGAAAAAACTGGGAAGTGCAAATGTCATGTCCTCTTTTTGTTCTTTCCTTTTTCCTTTGTCCGTGGCTCGCCCCCTCTCAATGTCACCTCCCAACGGTCGGGTGCTGACCTTGTACGTTGCTCACCCAGACACTGCTCATCTGGAAAAGAGGGCAACGGAGGGGCGGGATCGAGAGGATGGGCGAGAGGGAAGGGGAGGGGAAAAGGGAACACTCTTGCGTCTCGCTTCTAAGCCCCATCGACCCATGAATATGTCCATGCCCACGAGGTTCGATGAAGGGACCCTTTGTTCCATGTTTCCCGTCTCTAATACCTTGCTGCCTCCCGCCCTTCTCAATCTCCCCATCCTCTCTCACTTTCAATCACTTCAGCGCGTATGAACGTATTTGAGTTTCTCGTGCCCGCGCCGATCTCGGATCGTCCGGATTTAGATGCAAAACAATCGCTCTATTCTACGCTTTTATTTGTGCAACGCGGCGGTGATGATTGCCCGGCTGGCCTCCTCCATTCGGTTTTTTTGGGTGGTTGATATTCCCCCGTTGTCAAGATGTCTGGATTTGGAACGTCGTTCGGAGCCGAGCCTCGCACGCCAAGACTTTGAGCCTTACTGAAGCTTGGCAAAATGACGCTCGTCTTGTGCCTCTTGCCGCAAAATGCCTTTTTGCTCGAACCGCACGCGCCGGCTTCCCTCTTTGTGGCTTCTACTTTTTCTTCTCCGGTCAAATGTAGGGGTTAAAAGCCACACCGTAACCTTTACCCATAAATATGCAAGAAAAAAAAAAAAAAAAAGAGAAAAGAAGAATAATCGAGTAGAACCAGAAA